AAATGGGCTTCCTGCATGGGATATGCTATAATGGCTGCAAATAAGTCAAGACTGATCTATTAATATTCCTCTTGAGTTCTTTGATGGTATTAATTTCCATATTTTTATTATGGAATAGCTGACCAAGGGTTGACCTTTTCGCTCCCATACATTATACACTGGATTAGATAACCTGAGTTGAAACTCTAGATTGTTTCTGAGGAGTTTAAGCAGGGAGGTAACAAAAAAAAAAAAAAAAAATCAATGCACTAAATTTATATTTACAATCCTGTTTTTCCATCTGATTTTTATCTAGTATTTATGGGTGTCACCATGGTACCAGTCTGAAAGTGATCTTAATTGAGCCATCCAATAATATTTTATTACATTTGGTACTGACAATCAATGACCAACAATCTCAATGCTGTAATGAATGAAGCAGCAATGGGCATCCTTGGAAAACACCGTAAGACAAAACCTTGGGTCACAAACGAAATACTACAAATGTGTGATATTAGAAGAGAACATAAAGAGACAAGAACAGCACTGAGGGAGCTGATAAATACAGAGCAATTGGCAGAAATATCAAGAAAGGAATTATGGTGGCCAATGAGATATGGATTGAAAAATAATGCTCTAAAATTGAAAAGTATAGCAATAATAAAAATAGCAAACAAGCCTTCCAGATTGTAAAAGATCTGACGAAGGAAATGGACCAAAGCTAACGCAATTCAAGACAAAGAAGGGAACAGTCTTACAGAAGAAAAGGACATCATCAATAGGTGGACGAATTACTGCTCTGATCTATACAACCAACAGACAAATGGAGATCCTAGTGTCCTAGATAGCTCAGATTCAACAGAGGAGGATGACTTTCCAATACTGAAGAAGTGGAGACAGCTGTGAAATCACTCAAGAACGGAAAGGCTACAGGTATTGACAACATCCAGGGCCGGCTTTAGCAGGTGCGGGGCCCCACGCCGGGACGCAAATTGTCTCGCGCCCCCCCCAACTCTGCCCCGACTCCACCCCCTCCCTGCCCCATTGGATCCCTCCCCAAATCCCCGCCCTGGCCCCGCCCTCAGCCCCACCCCCTCACTGCCCCATTGGATCCCTCCCCAAATCCCAGCCCTGGCCCGGCGTCTTCCCCAAGCACGCCGCATTCCTCCTCCTCACCCCTCCCTCCCAGGCTTGCGCTGATCAGCAGTATGGCGGCGCAAGCCCTGGAGGGAGGGGGAAGAAGCAGGACGCGGCTTTTTTTTTTTTTTTTCGCTCCGCTGGCAGCCCCGGACGTTGCGGAGCCCTCTTAGGCGCGGGGCCCCATTCTGGGGAATCGGCTTAAAGCCGGCCCTGACAACATCCCAGCCGAACTGATGAAATTCAGAGGAAAAATAGTAATAGATGTACTCACCAAGATCTGCAACAAGATCTGGCAGACCAGTGAGTGGCCCTCCACATGGACACAGTCGCTAATCATCACTCTGCCAAAGAAAGGCAACCTGCAATTGTGTCAAAATTACCGGACCTTAAGCTTAATGAGCCATCCCAGCAAAGTGATGTTGAAAGTCATATTGAACAGATTGAAACCACAAGCGGAGAATATCATCACTGAAGAACAGGCTGGCTTTCCTTCTGGAAGAAGTACCACAGAACAGATTTTCAATCTTCATGTTCTATTTGAGAAGTACTTACAACACCAGCAGGACATCCACCGCGTCTTTGTTGACTTCAAGAAGGCTTTTGACAAAGTATGGCATGAAGCTCTCTGGGCAACCACAAAGAAGTACAGTGTTGGTCATAAGCTTATTATTACCATTAAACAACTGTATGCCAAGGCCAGCAGTGCAGTTCTCATCAATGGCACAACAGGAGAGTGGTTTCGCACCACTGTTGGAGTCTGGCAAGGCTGCCTTCTTTCACCCACACTGTTCAACATCTACTTGGAGCGCATAATGACTGATGCCCTAGAAGATCACGTATGCAGTGTCAGCATTGGGGGGGGTGAACAATCTCAAAACTTTGGTTTGCTGATGACATTGACAGCCTGGCAGGTAGCGAAGATGAACTTGCCAACCTTGTGAAACTATTGGATGACACCGCCGCAGAATACGGCATGGAAATCAGTGCAGAGAAAACTAAGCTGATGACAAACAAATGTGATGGGATCAGCTCACATATCACTGTCAGTGGACGAGAGCTGGAGACAGTGAAACAGTTCAAGTATTTGGGGGCAATCATCACTGATGAAGGATCAAAGGCAGAAATTCTGGCAAGAACTTCGCAAACAACAGCAACAGTGGCAAAGCTAAAGCCAATTTGGGGAACAAGAACATCTCCCTGGAATCCAAACTGAAACTGCTGCACGCACTGGTCATCTCCATTTTTCTGTATGTGTGCAAGTCATGGACCCTTACGGCAGGACTTGAACGGAAAATACAGGTAATAGAGATGAGATGCTTCCGTAAAATCCTGGGCATATCCTACTTCGACCACGTCACTAATGAAGAGGTCTGCGACGTCATCACCCAACGTGCTGGGTCATATGAAGACCTCCTGACAACCGTGAAGAAGCGTAAACGGAACTGGTATGGCCATGTAACAAGATCATCTGGCCTATCCAAGATCATCCTCCATGGGACAGTACAGGGGAAGAGAAGAGGTAGACAGAAGAAGAGATGGATTGACAACATAAAAGAGTGGACAGGAATGGACTTCGCGGAGACTCAAGCACTGACACACAATCGTCATGGGTGAAGACAATTGGTTGATTGCTCATCAGTGATGGTGCCCCAACGACCATTGCGGTTATGGAAGTGATGATGTTGATGACTGACAATCCCCCCTTTCAGAGTGGGTTTATGCAGAGTTTTGTTCTTAGTATTATACATTTAATAATCCTTGTCTGAATTTCCTCTAGAGGTTTTTGGAATTTATATTGACAGGGGCTGAAATATGAATTTATTTTTTGGCAACCAAATACATTTTTATTGTTGCTATACAACCAAGCCAAACTAAATATATTTTTTCCCCAATCCAACAAATCATTTTTCAGTTTTGAAACAATGGGAGGAAAATTAATTTCATAGAGTTGATTGAGGTTAGAAGTAATCTGGGACAATTCTCCTTCACACAGGGCCAATACTGGCTTTGAGCAGCCCACTTCTGTCTGTTTCTAGATATAGAAAATGGGGCAAGGACCTGTCAGTAGGAGAGTGCAGGGAAACCCCTATATGCAAACCAGAGGCGGAGGAACAGTTATTGGCCAACATGGACATTTAAGAGCTCCAGCCCCTACAGCAACGACACCTAACTACCGCACCCAAATGGGAAAGTAACCAGTTCTGATGGTGAAGCACCTTGAGAAGGCTGAAATCCCAAGTATGAATTTACATATGTCTGCTATTTTAATGCAGCTACAGCGTAATTTGAAAACTACTGACCTGTAGATGTGTAATGAGGGCTATTTTATCATTATCTCCTCTTGCCTCAACTGTTGCCTTTCCCTTCTCTATGATTTCTCCAAATATGAGCTCTTCAAACTCCAAAATGCCAGGGCGGGTCCCACTTGCTCACATATGGAACAGACCATGTTATTCTCATACTCAAACATCTTCACATGCTCTTTGCTCATTTCAGGATCCACTTTTTGTTTTAAAGCCCTCCATGGACTTGTCCCTATTTGCCTCATGGGTCCTGCCTCTTTATATTTGTTTCAGTTAGTACAAGCCTCCTGTTCTTTCATTTAGTTGCACGACTTCTTCTTTCCAGTTCCTGACAGCTAGAGCAGATTTAATTTCTCTCTCCACCTCTGATATTCATCTCACGTCACATCTCAGCTAAAATAGAAAACGTAATTTCATTCTTAGCTATACTACTTAATTTCTTTCTCTCTCCACTTTCTACTTTGTTATTCAACTTCCACTATGGTATTTTGGGACACTATAGTGAAGACACTGTGGAAGACAGAAGTGTATTTTATGTGTTCAATGAAGCGACTAACAGCATAAAAAATAATCCACTCCACCTGGAAGGTGCAGCCACCTGGTATAAAACAAAGTATCACTGAGCTCCCAAGACTCAGCTTTCCCATCTGTTGGAAAGTCCATAGTATGTCTTTTCTCACTGGCTTATATAGGGCTTCACTAGGGCTATGTCTTCCCCGCAAAAAGAGGGATGTTCTTTACTCAGGTTGGCTAACTACCTCCAGTTAAAATAGCAGTGGAGGCACAACAGCTCAGATTTTCGCTCGGGTAAGCAGGTCGAGTTCAAGCCTACAAGGGAGTTTGGGGTTGAACTCGAGATGCTCACCCAAATTAAAATCCAAGTGAGTAGCAAACTACGGGTCAGGGAGAAGACTTGGTGCAGGAGAGACAAAGTGACCCCCTCCCCTTCAGGAGCTTGCACGTAACAGGCTCACCTTCCCGCTATAATACTTCTCGTGTTCAGCTTCACCCCTAGGGTGACCAGACAGCAAATGTGAAAAATCAGGACAGGGGGTCGGGGGTAATAGGAGCCTATATAAGAAAAAGACCCAAAAATCAAGACCGTCCCTATAAAATCAGGACATCTGGTCACCCTATATGGGCCCTTATATAAAACAACACCCCCAACCTGCCCCTGTATCAGACACGCTACCCCACAGCGCACTCCTCTTACCCTTACCCCTGCCACGGAGCCCCGCAGCGCCCCTAGCCCCTATCACTCCACGGTAGCCCTACGTTACCCTGGGCTTGGCACCTATAGGACTCTACAGCAACCATCTCGGCTCTTGCACATTCGTGTACAGCAGCGCCCCCATAGCCACCTCCACGCTACACTTCCCTTGGCTCCTATATAACTCTATAGGGGACCCTTGTTGGGGTTCTCGCTATGCACCGCCCCTCCTCCCTCACTAACTCACCTCACTGGACGGCGCCATCTTGCGGCCCGTGTCTGTCACATGATGGGGGACCCTCGGGGGCGAGGGAAGAGCGGGTCCCCGTCACGTGATGCAGGCGCCAGGCCGGTGCGGCGGGCAACGGGTCACGTGAGAGGGGAGCGAAGATGGCGGCCGGCGGGCTGTGCGCGAGGTATGGGAACGCGGGTGCCGCTGAGGGAACTCCCCACTCCCCGCCACCCACCCACACCGGGGATAGCGGCCGGGCCGGGGAGCTCGTCATTAAACGGCAAACGGGGTGGGGGGGGGGAGGGAGCAGGTCCTGCCCCCTCCCCAGTGCCCCGTTCTGGTGTTTTCCCCCCAAAAGAGGCTCCTCCCCGTGACCCCCGGCATATCCGAGAGGCTCCTCCCCGTGACCCCCCCACCCTGACCCCTTTCAACTGCTCCCCCAAGCTGCCCTCCTCAGGAGAGGCCGCTACCCGCTTTAGCAGCCACTTCCAGTGAGCTCCCATCTCTTCCGAGAGAGTCCCCCTCCCAGTGACCGCCTCTCACCTGAGGCGCATCCTGCCCTGGAGCAGAGCTCACCCCCTGCTGCAAACGCACCCAGGGCCTCTGCACACAAGCCCCAGGTAGCGGATCGGCTCACTTGCTGGCCATTTCTAAGAAGCTGGGGTCGCTGACTGAATGGCCTCTCTGGTGCCCCCCGATTGGCACAGACTCTGCTCTCTGCCCCATTGGGATGGAGTCTGTCCTGGCACCAGGGTCCCTTTGCCCAGCCTGCTGCGTGGTTGGTCCTGTTACTGCGTTCCACTGGGCTCTAATGGGGCCCACACGCAGGGCTGCTCTGCTAGTGGAAATCTCTGCTCTGTTTCTCACCTGTCTAGATGAGCTGACCTAATGCCGTCCTCTGGGCCTGTTTGCAAACATCAGAACAGAGGGTTCACCATGTGGTCATGAAATCTAGATGCATTTTAAGAACTTATTCCATTGAAGAGCTCTTGGAAATAGTGGTGTATGGGGGCTGAGGAGGACTGTAGACCCCAGGGGTAATTAGGGTATATTCTACTTCCATTTGGTTCTTATTTGCCCCCTCAGGATGTAATGAACGCATCCCTGTTTGAGACCTTTTCCTGCTTAGTGAGTGTGTGAAGGGGAATTGGTGGGGTGCTGTTGCAGAGCCCCAAGAAACCATCTATTTTTACAAAATAACATCAGATCTATTTCAGCATTTTACCACAACTGATCATGGCCAAGTTGAATATCAGTTTTCATGCAATCCTCTCCACCTTCCTCCTCTCTGTAATAAAACAAGTGGTTCCCGATCTCTTAGGGCCACTGCAGCAATTTATTAGACACTTAATACCCCAACCATACCAGCAAGACCTCCCATTTGGCTGTGGACACTTACTCTCTGGAGCTTGGGCTCCCCTAAATCGTAGTCTTGGATCCTAGTCTGGTGAGTTAGAGCATGTATAGCTGAATGGAAGGTGGAAGTGGTGGCATAAGAGAGCCTGGCCCGGGGGCTGAAGATTAAGTTGTCTGAATGGAGTATGGGGGAGCCTGATGGTCCCAATCACCAAGTTTTTGTAAACACCTAACATTAAAATCCCAAATGAACTGCAATCCAACTATGATGTGAGCTGGATAGGAGAGCAAACACTTTAATAATGAATGATGCTGATGAAGTGTAGATCTGCCTCTGTCCCTCCTAATTTAAATGTTTGGAAAGGTAATATGTTCTTTAGAAGTGACAGGAACTATTTGGGAAGGGTGGCACAGGGACTAGTGGTGAATTAACATTTTCTTTGTGTTCCTTTTGTTCTCTGTCTTTTTTAGAAGGCTAAGTGGCGAGTGTGATTTAACAAAACTAGAGCTACTGTTTAAAGGGGTTTTGCGGCCAAATTGAAATCTCGATTTACATCAGAGTTGCACATCTCTGATGGGGGGAGGGATAGCTCAGTGGTTTGAGCATTGGCCTGCTAAAACCAGGGTTGTGAGTTCAATCCTTGAGGGGGCCACTTAGGGATCTGGGGCAAAAATCAGTACTTGGTCCTGCTAGTGAAGGCAGGGGGCTGGACTCGATGACCTTTCAAGGTCCCTTCCAGTTCTAGGAGGTAGGTAGGATATCTCCATCTCTAGAAGAATTTACTCAAAATAGGATTCTAACTTCCCAGGTCTATTTTGAATGGCAGCAAATCAGGCTGCAGATATTTCATTCTTTAAGTCTTACAAAATAATGCCTCTGGTGGCTTTTGGTACTTTCTCTGGAGGTGTAGACGACTTCAGAGCTGCCACTTTCATTCTCTGTTATTCTAGCTATCCCCGGGAGCTCATTTGCTGATTAGGTTCTCTAGATGTAATCTGAGAAACTGTCAGATGAGCATATTTCACATAACCTGTCTGTTCATCTCTAGACAGACCTTGCATGGCAGGCTTTATGGTTTAGTTTTACTCCTGACTTGGATTACATTGCCGCCAGAACATCAATTTCTTAAACTCCAGAAAGCGGTATTTTGGAAGTTGCTGTTTGCACAGCTATTTTAAATAGCTAGATTTTGTTCATTACATTTTGCAGAGTTGCACCTTCCTTTCTGAGATCTGGTAGGATAAGGATTTGATCTGAAATACTTCCTAACACAGACTGATTGCCTTTTCTTCTGTGTTCTTAGTGAGTGAGTGGGAAACAGATACAAACAAGAGGCTTAGTTTAGCTAAGCTATGCTGAGTAGTTCTGGCAAAGTTTGTGCCTTTTGGGAAACTGGTGGAATTTCTCACCTTACTTTGATATTGTTCCACCCAAGGAGGAAGCTGTGAACAAAACTGAATGAAAGATCTCTACATGCTTAGTTTGGTTTCCTTATACTAATTAACTGTAGGCATCCAGGTAGCAAAACTGGATTGAACCAATTACAGTAGCTAATATAAATGTGCTTTCCCTTTGGTTTAGGTTTGTTCAATATGTCTTACCACTTTATCTGCTCTAAGTGAAAACCAAGTTTAAAAGCTTGTAGGCTGAACATCAGCCTTGAGCCATGTTTAAATTAGAGAGAGAACTTTGTTTTTTTTTTCTCTTTATTTATAGGAGCAGCAGAGAACTGTGGACCATTCTGCTAGGCAGATCGGCTTTGAGGGAACCTGTAAGTAGAGGTCTTGCTAGGCAGCTTTTCTCGTTACTAAATAGACATGTGGCCTGATAACCCTGCTGTGCTATGCATAAGTGGCTGAATGCTAGTGAATCATGTTTTGCTGCTCTACCCCTTTTCACCCCCAAAATATTCTTACTGGGAGTTTTTTGTTCCTCTACTTCCACTCCTTGTTTATTCTCTCTCGTTAGCTGCTGCAGCACTGGAATGGTATATGTGCAAAGGTGCTTCCCTTTCTGGAGCGGACACAAGTGCTGCTTTCCAGACTGGCTGGCTTGGGGTATTCATGAGTGGAGCAGCCTGCTTCCTTACTCCCCGGGATGGAGTCCATGATTTCAAGAATGTTCCCAGAGGTTGGAAATCCAAATCCATTTCTGAGCCTAGCCTGCTGTCTCCTCCTTCCCCTCTCCTTCCCACAGTTAGGCAAAGCAGCAAGCTGTTCTTTCTCAGACATTCTACACCTTGAATCAGAGTCTGAATCACAGATGTTCTTCATGTTGGGCTTGTGTTGTTGCTGTCCTATTCTGTGTGTGGTGTTGGAATTTCATTGCTTAGTTTAAATTGAACAAATCTGATATTGGGCAGAATAAGGAGATTTGTCCATTCAGTATTATTTTATTCTCTTCTAGGCTCAGATTGCAGCAGAGTTGAACAAGCATTGGCAGAGGCTACTAGAGGGGCTTTCATACTACAAACCTCCCAGGTACAGTAATTCGTTGATGCTAGCATCTGATAATAGGCGCCTAGATACTACTGTGATAGGTGCGTTAGATAAACAGGCACTGGATAGTAGAAGAACGTGCTGAATATTTCCCAGTGATGCAGCAAAAATAGATTCTACCCCCTTCATATGCCAATTACCTCCAGGTTGCAGGGGGTTCACTATTCACATGGAGCGGAGAGGTTTAGAAGGGGTGCCTCAATGCAGTTAATATTATTTTGGCATGAAAATACCATGTGTAGAAATAACACAAGTTCTTGTCTTCTCCCAGCCTATGTTAGATACCTGTTCATCCCAGTCTCTTGCTGAGAGTTACAGTAATCATGTACCAGAATCTAGAGTGCCTCTATAGGTTACCTAAAGATGAAGCTTCGATGCAGAGGAACGACTCCTCTTGACACTTGATCTTCTCAAAATGAGATCCAGATTCTCACACTGAAAGAGTGAGAATAATTATCTATCTATGTTTATTATAGCTATAACCGTGCCTTGGTTTGTGCATTTTTTGTAGCCCGTTGGCATCTTCATTGATAAGAGCGATGTCGTCAGCAAAGTCTAGATCAGATAGCCTTGTATTGTTCCATTTTAGGCCATATGTATCACTGTTGCATTGTTTTAATCCATAGTCAATGGCTAGCATAAACAAAAATGAAGACAGGATGCACCCCTGCCTTACACCTGTCTTGATGCTGAATGGCTTACTCAATCCATTTTCCATTTTAATTCAGCATTTTGAGTTAGCATAGAATGTCTTCATAATGTTTATTAATTTTGTTGGAATTCCATATTGTTCCACAATTTTCCACATTGTTTCTCTGTTCACACTATCAAATGCCTTTTGAAAGTCCACAAAATTGATGGCAAGACTGCCTTGGAATTCAATTGTGTTCTCAATAATCCATCTCAGGGTGAAAATAGTGTCTGTGCATGAGCTCTCTTGTCTAAATCCAGATTGTTGTTCACGTAGGATGGTATCCATCTTTCCTTTCATTATGTTCAGGAGGACTGCTGCTAATACTTTTCCTATGACAGATAGAAGTGTTACTCCCCTCCAATTTGAACAATTGTTTAGATCACCTTTCTTTGGTAACTTGATTAGGATACTGAGGGTCCATTCTTCCAGCAGTTTCTCCTCTGTCCATATTTTGTTGCACAGCAAACAGATGACTGATTCCACGTCTTCGCCTCCATATTTAAGCATTTCAGGATGAATGCTGTCCAACCCAGGTGCCTTGTTGTTTTTCAGCTTCTGCAATGCTTTTTTTAGTAATGGAGCAGATAGGTTTGAGATACAATGCAAAGAAATGTAAAGTCATGTTTATGGGGACTACCGGGATAGAAATCAAAATTGAAGAAGAGAAACTGGAGAAGGTGAACAATTTTATGTATCTTGGAAGTACCATCAGCCAAGATGGTACTTTTTCCGAGGAAGGAAGAAGAAGAATCGGGAAGGCAAACCCTGCATTTGGAAGACTCAAAAACATCTGGCAACTCATAAACATCTCCCTCAAGACAAAACTGAATGTGTACAAAGCAATTGTTATCACCATCACAACATATAGCAGTGAAACATGGCAACTTACCAAGAAAGATATGCAAAAGCTGGATGTTTTTCATCACAAATGTCTGAGAAGAATATTGGGAATAACATAGAGAGATAGGAAGATGAATGAAGAAGTGAAAAAAATTACTGGACAAGGCACCCTCTCACAAATAATCTACAAAAGAAGACATCAGTGGCTGGGACATGTGCTGAGAATGGAAAAAGAACGCTTGCCAAATACTGCCCTTGAATGGAAACCAGAAAATGCAAGAAGAAAGAGAGGAAGAGGGTGAGTAACATGGAAAGTAACAGTTCTGAACGACATCAAGCACCTCAACATGAAATGGGACGATTTGGAGAGAAGGGCAGTTGACAGACAAGGATGGCAAATGCGGGTAGCCCAATGTGCAGCAAAGCATGGGGTGGTCTAAGGTCTAACTGTACCTTGCATTGCACATGAAGTGAACTGTGCCAAACAAGTCCTGCATTGAAGTTACAGTATGTATATTAAATATAGAAAAGCCAGAACAATCACTGAAAAGTCTGATTTTTAAACCGACAAAAGCCAGGGATTTTGGAATTAAGCCTTTTTGTTTTGCCTCTTTGTGTCTTTAGTGCATTTTCATGACTAAAAGGGTTTTCTTCTTTCTTTAGTGCAAGTTCAGCCGAAAAAGTAAAAGCTGATAAAGATGTGGCTGCTCCACTGAAGGAACTGGGCCTGAGGATCAGCAAGTTTTTGGTGAGCAGAGGTCCTAGGCAGTTTAATTCTTGCCCTCACACTTGGAATGCACAGCCAGAGACCTGGGTTTGTGCTTTCTGTTCTTAATGTAGTGTATCTTATCTCTGAAGAAGATAACTGAAGTGTAATCTTTTCTAATTTATCACCTGCTACCTGGATAAAGAGTTACTTTCTCTATGCTGAGACTTTTGCCTACAGTTTTTCTTCTCCAGTTCCCTACTGGACACATACTTTTTTCTGCAGTGAGTTTGTCAGGTCAAGTCATTTCTCACAGGTATTTAACTAAAACAATAAGAGGATCAAATTCTGAAGCTCAGTTAAGTTTAATAAGCTGTTTTAATGTTCAGTAGAAGTGAATTTAAGACTATTTTTGATCCTGATTATTCTAAACTAAGTTATAAGCAAGAACTGAGGCAGTAAGCTAAAATTTTCCAAAGTGACTAGTGACTTTTGGGTTCCTTAATTTTTGGTGCCTAAATTGAGACTACCTAAAAGGCTGTTTTTTTTCAGGAAGTGCTTAGCGCTTGCCATCTGAAAATCGTGCTTTTTTTAAGGCATCTCAAACTGGACACTCAAAATCCCTTGTCATGTTGGAAAATCTTGACTAGTTACCCGCAGAATTGGATTCCTTCCAATCAGAAATAGAACAAGGTGATCAGTTTATGATAGGACCCTTATTTAATTGATCCATTATACTCCTGCTGGAGCTGAACTAGCCACATCTACATTATTTTAAAATGTACATGTTCTGCTTTCCTTTAACAAACAAACAAACAAACTCTACTGACCATAACTGTTAAGAGCCTCAGAGGAAACCAATTTATTGACACTTTTTGGAATAATTTATTCCAAAGGGAAGAGATGCCTGAATATTTGGAGTGACTTTGAACCTTTTGATAAACTTAGCTGCCTTGTCTTATTCCTCTCTGTGTCTGTGTGTCTCTCTCTTGTTTCAGGGGCTGGATGAAGAGCAAAGTGTGCAGTTATTGCAGTGTTATCTTCAAGAGGATTACAGAGGGACCCGGGACTCACTTAAGGTCTGTAGTATGTGCCTGCATCATGCTACTGTCTCTTTTCCTCCTTAACCCCAGTGGTTCATTGACATGGTTGTGCATGATGCTGAAATCCAGATTTGGAAATTATTTTGGAACTTTCCCCCCCTGAATTTCTGATATTCAAGTACATTACAGAAAATGAGGTATCTGGGGTCCAGGTCCAATCTTCTAGTATATCCTGCCTGGTGTGAGTCTGAGATTTATCTGAACTCTTAGCCATAGGAATGTACTGACAGGTGTCTGAGAGAGAGGGGTAGGGATGAAAGGAGTCAGAGGTAAACTCATGCTTGCAAGTGAGAATCTGTGCTCTGTAACGCTGAAATCTGGCCTCTCACAAGAAATGATGTCTTATATGCGACTAGTGTAGGTGCATTAAGGCCACTTCCTTATTCTGTTGTGTTTTGATTGCAGACTGTCCTGCAGGATGAAAGGCAGAGTCAGGCTCTGATGTTGAAGGTCAGTAGTTTTCATTCTTATTTTCATTTTAAAAAGAGGTGTTGGCAATGAACTAATTTTGTTTGCTATTGGTCAGGAAAAGCTGGGAATGGTTGAAGAGCAAATCTGGGGGGATTTTTCTAATTCATTTGTGAAGTAGTAGTAATACCTTGCTCTTTATGTAGCAATTTTCATCAGCAGATCTCAAAATGCTTTACAGAAGAGTGGCTGGCCATAGACTAGAACAGCATGAGCAGTTACTCTGTACAGGGACCTTTTGGCTGTGCTGATTGAAATTGGGCCATGCAGGAATAAGCACTCCTAGGATAGCCACAGCTTTGCATTTATGTGCGCAGTTGTCATCCTAAGAGATGTCTTTGGAAAGGGGACTGAAGATCACACCTATGTAGTTATGGATCCAAGAGGAGAAAGAGATTGAAATCTCATCTCTCCTTCTTTGCTCTGCCTTGTTCCTTTCTTTCTGAGTTAGCAATGGAATGACAGAACCTGTTCTAATATATGAAGGGGGTGTGCGCGCACATGCATAAGAGTGAACTGGATGCTTTTGTCAGATGACTTAAACTATCTAACTGAGTCATGCCATTACGTTGAAGCGTCCATTGTAGGTAGTGCATGGGCAATGTAAGTTTATGAGCATAATCACTGCAGTTTGGTGGGAGGCATCGGAGATGAGATCAGGAGAGGGAAGAGAGAGTTAGACACAGCAGCAAGTGATGCTGATGACGTTGTGTTTTCACAGCTTGCTGACTATTACTATGAAGAAAGAATGTGCATTCTGCGCTGTGTCCTCAACCTACTCACTTATTTTCAGGATGAGAGGCACCCCTACATGGTGAATACTTGAACCTTTTCCTGAATCTGATCTCACTGTTAAATGACACACCGTTTGTCTGTCTCTGCATCTAAAAAGCTTATACATGTGTATGTGTAATGTTTGGGTTATTTTTTGAAAGGCACAATACTCACAGTGTGTTGAGAAGCTGGACAAGGAACTGGTTCCTAATTACCGGAAACAGTTTGAAGATCTATACAAAGCAGAAGCTCCTACATGGGAAACGCATGGAAATCTCATGGTATTTTGAAAATTATCAAAAATTATCCTTTATCAGAGTTGTACGTTTTTTCTTCACTACATTGTTGACTAATTAGTACAAAGTGAATATGCTTAAATGCAATTAACAAGGACATTTCCAGCCTTCTAAGGAATTTAAGGGAATTGTTTCCCTTTGGTAATACTCTGAACACATCTTGTTTCAGCAGCTAGGCTCTGATCTTGAGATCTGACCTCTGATCCCCTTTGTAAAAAGCCCATTGAGCTGTCACTAGACCAGCAGGGTTTTGGAGTGGTACATAATCTGTTTTAAGCAGCCAACTCTGTTTACTCTTAGTAGTGTTTTGTTTAATTTTTAAATAAAACCTGCAGAATTGTGAATCTGAATCATCTGGCATCCTGGCAACTTGGGTAGTGTCTCCTGGGATAGGGTAGGTGTTTTTCCTGTCTTCAGCTCTGTGGGCTGCATAAGGATCACATAATCCCAATATCATTGATTTTTACCTTAATCCCTTAATGCTATATGTTGTGGGATGCACCCACTGCCATTGAGGGGATGACTTTTAAACAGCGTTTCCGGTGTGACGTAAGAGCAGGTTCCCTCACCATTGGAGCAGACCGATTTGCCCCAGCCACTCTCCATTTCAGGTTGCTTCAACTGACATGCTAGTTTAAACGTATAACGGTAGGACTCTCCTCCTTGTACAGACAGAGCGCCAGGTATCCCGCTGGTTTGTGCAGTGCCTCCGCGAGCAATCCATGCTTCTAGAAGTCATCTTCCTTTACTATGCATACTTTGAGATGGCACCTGATGAGCTGCTGACCTTTGCCAGGCTTTTCAAAGAACAGGGATTTGGCTCTAGACAGACCAACAGGCATTTGGTGGATGAAAGCATGGATCACCTGGTGGATCGTATTGGGTAAGTCTTGTGTGTATATATGGGATTAGTGTGCAATTGAACAAATCTCTTGTTCAATACAGAATATAGGTGTATTTTGTGATGGTGCCCTCCAAAATCACTATTTGTGTAAACAATGTTTATCCTTATGACCTTTGGTTTAGTTTATAAAAGATTTCTTCAGATTTGACTGAGACACAGCCAGTGAAAAACCTGCCATGTGGAATGTACCGTGGTAGAAATAGGCTGAGGAAGAGAGGCCATCTTCAAATCAGAATAAATGGCTTTCCTATTTTGTGACTGTTCAGCCAGCAGTAGATAATTTTGAAGACCTAACTTGTCATCTGTTGGCACATCAAGATCCAAGAATTTATGTTCTTTGGATTATTGCTCTTAATTTCACATATTTTTTTCCTTCATCAAGGGAGTAGTAGATAAATGTAAAGCTGATGGACTGTTCCATTATCCAGCCTTTACTTCCCTCTTTCCTACTGAATCTTTAAATTGAGTTTCTTTTTCTTGCTTCCTTCCCCTGACCCCTGCTCCAGCTACTTCAGTGCTCTTATCCTGGTGGAGGGCATGGAAATTGACTCCCTGCATGAGCGTGTGTTGGATGATAGGACGGAGGAACATAAATTTGCCAGTAATGGGCGTATGCACCAGGTAAACCTTCAATAAGTCTCTTGACATTTGTAGTTCCTCTGTAATTAGAGATGGTTGTGGTTGCCCAAGGTAGAGCTGCTGGAGCTCTGTGGGCAGAACTTGTCTGTGAGATTCTGGGCTTGCAGATCGACTGAACTAACATCTACATTACAATATGGGGCAAGTAAGAAGGAAATGAATTATTAATTTCTATTTATCTCATAAGAAAGTGGTTTATCTTCAGGGTTTCCCTGAAGGTTTTAGGGAAGGGTAGGGAGGAGCTAAGAAATGGTCTTAACATGGAAATCAAAATGGGGAGAAATTAAACATCTGTGGTGTCGTATATTTCAAAGGTTTTCAGGGAAGAAAATACGTGGGAGCTAGAAAAGCACAGTGAGGTCATTAAGTTATGGAGGAAACACTGGTGTTGCTTGTGCTCTGACTGATCTTTGCATACCTGACCTGGAATTTCACATTTGTTATAATTTCACTGTGACACTTGTATCAAAACAACAAACTTCAAGTTAAACAAGGGGCTATCCATTATTTTAATTAGAATTGCGTGTCCTTTATTTTTGTGACCCTCTCACCTCCTTCCCCAAAGGGTATGAATCAGCATGACAGAAAAAACATGCTAAGCAGTTTCTTCCTGAAAGTACAACTTGGTCAACTCTATAGATTCTTGTTTTTATACAAGACATTTATCTGCATGAATTAGGAGATTATTAGAGCTACACCTCAGTCAGCTGAATGCTTGCTGGGTCAGGGCTTCTTTCAGCCTGTCTTGATTTCTTTGCTTGTATCCTGTCTTCTGAGCAGGAAATGGACCATCTGCTGCTGACTTTAGGGGACATCTCTCATCATGCCCCTGTGCTCTTGGCCTGGGCTTTGCTCCGTCACACAGTAACCCCAGAGGAGTCGACCAATGCGATCAGGCGAATGGGAAGTACTGCTATCCAGCTGAATATATTCCAGTACCTGACAAAGCTGCTACGATCACTCAGCAGTGGGGGGAAGAATGTAAGTTTCTAGTTGTCATGTTTGTAGGCTCTTCAGGGCGAGGGGGCTCTATGGTATTGGTAGTGTGAAGATGTGGGGGAAGGTAGGTAGGTTAGGCCATTGTTTTTGTAAGTCTAATTCTAGTCCTGAATAGAGTGCATAGTGAAGTGTTGGCCAGTAAGTGACATCAGTGTTGTTGTTTCAGCTCCTTTCTGTGTAGGGTGGAAGTTAAATGAAGTGTTTGTAGGTTTAGAAGGCAAATTAAAAATGTATTTCCCCAAGTTATTCTGTTAGGGACTAGATTTGGCTGGAGAAGGTCCAGATCTGGCCAGTGATTGGAAAATCTGCTCTTTATATATATCTATATATATATATAGATATATATAAAAGAGAGAGATGTATATCTCAGCCTTTCAAGAGCCTTGTGCATTGATGCATCTTGAGTCCCTTCTGTTCTGTGCCTGTGGCACACAATAATTTTGCCTAGTCTCCTAAGGGCTGTGTAATATTTTGGTCTGATTCTGTTTGTTGGGGTTAGTTTGGAGGTAGCTGTGTAGTGTTTAGTGGACTGTGAGAGATGGAAGATCAAAGATGATGATCTTGTGGTCCCTTCTGGCTCTAAACTCTATGACTTTGTGAACGTTTATTACTATCATACTTATCTTGTTTATTAAGTTGACTCCATGGATGCACCAGCAATTGCAGCTTTTGGCTTCTGCCACCATTTCCCACAAACAGTTTCACTAGACAGTGTCGTTTACAAGAACAAACTATTCCAAAGCTCCAGTAGCTGTCAGTCAGCCAGACATTGGTGGAAGAAGAGCCCTCTCATTTTTCTGACCATTGAGTGTTTCTTGATATGATTGTTTTGAAGAGGATTCTGGGCTGAGGGAGGAGGGTGGCTTTTAGACACATTGACTCATAAGAATTTAGGTGGTTTTATGTGGCACTTCACTAACTGCTGCTCCCATTTCTATTGTCTTCCAATAGATACATTGGCTAGCCCGAGGTGGTGATCCCCTCTCTTATATACCTGCAGAAAGGGGCAGTGGCTCAGAGACACATGTCTATGATGTGCTAAGGAAACTGAGGGCTGTTACATATGTTCTGTAATGAACTATGCCCTGGTTCTTGAATAGGGTTTATAGTCTCCACTGTCACTCACTGACCTGTGTTTTGCATTACAGTGTACTGCCAGCACAGCTTGCATGTGTATTTATGGGCTGCTTTCCTTTGTTCTGACCTCGCTGGAATTACATACGTTAGGCAATCAGCAGGTAAGTGTCAAAGGCTCATTGTGTCCGTTATCTTATTTATTATAACCTACCATAACCTAACATTCAAAACTGGCCACCTGTACTCTGGGTGCAAATTCTGTGTTTGGGATTGTATCCACTGCACGATTTAGGTAGACAGTTCTGAAAGTGGGGCCCACTGTGTTTTACTCCAAATGCGTAACACAAACTTTACGGTTCTTCCAACTCTGAAAACTGTCAACATCTCTGCTGGGTACTAATTAAAGATACAGAGTAGTATTTCTTACATTTTGATGGGCCAATGGTTTCAGAGCAAATACTGGAGTATTGGTCAGAAAGAAATGGGGATAAGATATATCATAATGGCACTGAGCTCCTAGGGTATGGAGGACAGTATACTCTATTACTTCCATAGCAGATTTACCATATCCCATGCCAGTCAGTTCATTGGCAGTGAGTTTGGTTTTAGAGAGAGTTGGTGTATATTAGGGTTAAAATGGGCTTGTGTATTTCCTCCTATTTAGCTTAGGGTGTGTAGTTCCAATTCAGGGAATGACTGTTGCCACACTGTTTGGAGTGGCTCACAACCATGAGTGCCTACCTCAGGGCTGAATGTCAAAGCAGGGCAGAGACACCAAACTGGTGGTATGTTCTGAATTAAATTGCACCAGCTCAGTACCAAATGTGAACTCTTGGATCACTATAACAGTCTTACAATGGAGTCACAGACAATCTATCTTGCCACCCAGACAAACGACCTAGTGATATATGGTCACTTACGTCAAAAATCACAAATATCCAAGTTACTCCCAGTCCCAAGAGACCAGTCACTCACTCAGGTCAAGTTGCATTCTAGTTCTCACACCAAAGACAATGCTGGTAGCTAATTCTGTAGTAAACTAACTATATGTTTATTAGCTAAGAAAAGGAAATGCATTATTGAGAGGTTAAAGAAGGTTAAATATATGTTTAGGTGAGCCACAGTCTATAATTCTAAATGGTCATTGAGATGTAATAAACTGCTAGTTTCCCAAAAGTCTTTTCAGGGTACCCAGATTGTCTTTGGATCTCTGCTTTGCATCAGGTACCATTCCCTTTCATAGTCCAAACAGTCCGGAGATCCCGGCTCTTTCCTTGAATCCATACTTATAGCTTCTTCTCACAGAAAAGAAGCTGACAGTGGGCTCTTTCTTTAACTGTGGGAGAGAGACAAGTGCATTTAGAGTCTTTGATCTCTGATCATCACACACAATGACCACTTGCCTTCAAATGCACACGAATTAGTACTTTCCTGCTAAAGTTCTTCATTTGCATTACACAAGGCTTCTTTCTCCTTTAATGGGTTATTTAATTACAGGAGTAATTACAATGTAAATTTAAATGTTTGCTATTACATTATAACGGGATACAGATAAGTGAAAACAATACATGTAACATCCCATAGTTTTCATGAAGTGTAAACACCAATCACTTTAATCTGCACTAATACACAAGTGAATTGGCCTGGGAGTTTGGCATGAGATAGCACTTGGTCTGCCAGCGTCACAAATGTTACTGTATTGAACCCTGGATTCCAAGGGAGGTGACAAGACTTGATTTGGAAGGAAACTATCCTAAAGTAATTTTCATTTCTCCCAACGCCCTTTCCTTTGAAGGACATCATTGATGCAGCCTGTGAAGTTCTAGCAGCTTCCAGCATTCCACAGCTCTTCTGGAGGACGGTGAGTACTTTGGGACTTCTTTGGCCTTTCCTGCTTGCTGTCATACCTTGCTGAAATATGCTCTTTTAAGAAAGAAATGGGGTGTTCATATTCCCTGTGACGGGTTGGATCACAGAAACCCCCTTTGGGACTGCCACCTGGTGTGCTGAGACTACCCCTGAGCCCGCTTTCTCTGCCAGCTTGGGGGTTCAGTGCCCTGCCTGGTTTGAGCCAGACCCACTAGCCTGCTATAAACCCAGACCCAAGTCTGAACCACATCCCCCAAAAGCTGCAGGTTTAGCTGAAAACAGCTTAAGAAGTGTTCCTGTCTCCAACACCCAGATGCTCAGTTCCCAATGGAGTCCAAACCCCAAATAAATCTGTTTTACCCTGTATAAAGCTTATACAGGATAAACTCATAAATTGTTCGCCCTCTATACCACTGATAGAGAGAGATGCACAGCTGTTTGCCCCCCCAGGTATTAATACATACTCTGGGTTAATAAGTAAAAAGTGATTTTATTAAATACAAAAAGTAGGATTTAAGTGGTTCCAGGTGATAAGACAGAACAAAGTGAATTACCAAGCAAAATAAAATAAAACATGCAAGCCTACTTCTAATACAGTAAGAAAGTGATTACAGATGAAAGCTCACCCTCAGAGATGTTCCAGTAAGCTTCTTTTACAGACTAGCCTCCTTCTAGTCTGTGTCCAGCAATCACTTACACCCCTGTGGTTACTGTCCTTTGTTCCAGGTTCTTTCAGGTATCCTTTGGGGGTGGAGAGGCTATCTCTTGAGCCAGCTGAAGACCAAATGGAGGGGTCTCCCAGGGGTTTAAATAGACTTTCTCTTGTGGGTGGACACCCCTCCCTCCCCCTGTGTAGAATCCCAGCTACAAGATGGAGTTTTGGAGTCACATGGGCAAGTCGCATGTCCATGCGTGACTCAGAACTTACAGGTAGCAGCCATTGTTCTCATGCTACCTTGAATGTCCTCAGGTAGACTTCTTGTGTGGATTGGAGCCTTCCAAGATCCATTGTCCGTTGAGTGTTTCTTGATTGGGCACTTAACTTGCAAATTCCTTTCTAAAGAAGCTGCCCAAATGCCTTACTAAGGCTACTTAAAATCAAACAAGTACACAGCCAATATTCATAACTTTGAATACAAAAATGATACATGCATATAAATAGCATGAATATATTCAGTAGATCATAACCTTTGCAGAGATATGTTACATGGCATATGCAGCACAAAACACACTCCAGTTATGTCATATTTACATTCACAAGCATACCTCCACAAAGCATCATGGGGTGCAACGTCACATTCCCCTGGTTGTAGTTTCTAGCAGGGCTTGCAGAGCTAGTTTCCATTTGCGTCTCTTATATGGTTTGCCCTTAGCCCCTCCCCCCCATCCTGTTAAGGTACGGTCTGTGGTTGCATTGTTGATACTGAAACAAGTAGTAATTTACATGGTAACTTAAACCATGGCTGGGATTGTTTAAATGCTAGAACAACATTGTGTGCTGATACTGCTCTTGTCACATAAATGGCTGAGATGTGGTGTCAGAGATTAAAAGTCACCTTCCCTTGCATAAAACCTCTAATTATGCTTCATTACAGATTTGCTCATCCATTTCCATTTCACCTTCCTACATTATACCAGGCACACTCACCCAGGGACATTAACACTAGTTGCCCATCACAGCAAAACTAAGGGCTGGAGTGATGCTTTTGTTCATGATTAATAGTAGGTGTATGTTCCATAGAGATGAAATTAGTGGTCTTTTGAATGGAGCCATTTGCTTAACATTTAACAAACGAAGCAGGAAATAGCGGAACCCAGGCATCTCTCATCACCACCTGGCTCTGATCAGATTTACTGGTAATGATATTTGCTTTGTTAATTTGAGAAGTTTAACTTTCCACTAAGGGTCAATGAATGATACAAATAGTTGTGTTGTTTTTTCTCTAAACCTTTGGATGCTAGGATTTGTAGATGCAACACGAATGTTCCAGCAGCAGGAGCCCTAAGCACATTCCTCGCTAAAGTTGCTTTGCTGCATTGACCCCCCCCAGCAGAAGAATCATGTTGATCATTTTTTGTTTAGTAACAGTTTTTCTTTTGTGTCTCCACGGCCAGGAGCCAACCGCAGGTCTGGGTATTATCCTGGACAGTGTGTGTGGGATGTTCCCACATCTTCTCTCTCCTCTTCTGCAGCTGCTCAAAGCCCTTGTATCAGATAAATCTACTGCAAAAAAGGTATGGAACCTGGCCAGAAATCTGGAAGACAGTTTATATCTGGACAGAAAAGGAACATTGTGTCAGACCCTCTCCCCTTGCTTTGTACACACATCCCATCCTTGATGCCTTGGGTAACAACCATCAACCTTTTGGCCAAAGAGGTCTGGACAAGACTTCCTTCCGAGCCTGCCAGAAGGGTTGCTGTTGCATGATATAGGGCACACACTCTCTCTAGTACTGAACTTGCTGCCTTCATAGCACGGACAATCCTAAGGATCAAGATAATAGGAACTGAACCCAGGTCTCCCATGTGGCACTGTAGAGTAATGTTGCTTGGGCCTCAAATGTATTTTATGCTTTGGAACTACTTCCTGCTCTAATGATTGATATGATGTTCAGGGAGGCTAACGCGAAAAACAAAGTTCTGAGTATAACTCAGTTGCTGTTTTATGATGTGCAATCAGTAGACAAGAGTTCCAAGTAATTTAGACATCAAATAATAAACGGGGGAAGCACAGATTTCATTGCAACTTTATGGGAGCCACTTTGCCAGAACCCAGAGCTGAAGCACTACTCATAGCTTGTGACAATTGCCTTGTGTCAGGATGCTAACTTTTAGTGCTTTACTCATAATTAGTTCCTGTCTTCCTGATTAACTAGTTCAGAGAGGCATTATTTGGGCAATTCCATGGGGACAGGATGGTGGTATTTCTGCTTCAGTAGGAGTTGGCATGTTGGAAGCAGACTATGCATTTCAAGTAACCTTACCTATCCCTAAAAATGGCCTGGCTTAATATAGTTCCTTAGAAAGCTCTAGTTCTCTGGCTGTATTCTGTAGCTCTGTCCGTTTGCAGGTGTACAGTTTCCTGGATAAAATGTCCTTCTACATTGAGTTGTACAAACACAAGCCGCCAGATGTGATCTCTCATGAAGATGGCACCCTTTGGAGAAGGCAGGTGCCAAAGCTTCTCTATCCCCTGGGTAAGGAATTCTGGTGGGGTCGTTCACCCTTGGAACACTTTCAGATCTAGTTTTTTATGAACCAAATTGCTTACAGGTTTTAATTGTGAAGACTGGATTCTGATCACATTCTGAAGCTTCTGACTTTGTTTTTTTCACCTTTTCCTCCCCCTCCCTTAGGGCTGGGCCAGACAAACCTACGAATACCTCAGGGAACAGTGGGCCAGGTGATGCTGGATGACCGGGCATATTTAGTACGATGGGAATATTCCTACAGCAGCTGGACATTGTTCACCTGTGAAATTGAGATGCTGCTCCATGTTGTATCGACTGCAGGTGAGGCAAGAGGGGAATTGGGGTGGATGTTGTCGGGGAGAGAGGAGTGTGACGTATTAGTAACATTAACATAAGATGAAAAAAATCAAGAGTAATTTCAGTGGGATTGGGACAGGTCCTAGGCACATTCTCCACTTCCATTGGAACAGCCTGTCGCTGTTCCAGAAGGGCATTGTGGCTGAGTCTAGCACCATATTGGGGATTGTGACAAGGGGAAGGAAGCAAATACTAGAGAAGAGGAGTGAGGTGGAAGAAAGGAGAGAAAGAAAGTAGGAGAGAGAGGAGAGAGTCAAATACAGCAGGAGGTGGAAAGGTTTCGTTTTTTGTATTATGCTGCCTCCATAAAAGATCAGGAGGTGGTAAGTGCTTATAGGGAGCTGGGCAAAATTTAAGATGAGAGAAAATATGAGCAGGAGCCTTTTAAAATATCCCGCCCACCCTCATATTTCTGTCTTTGGTCATTTGAGGGACATGGTCCCAGTTTAATCATATTCTGTATTGCACCTGGAAAGTAGATGTTCCCTTCATTAGAGATGTGGAGTAATCTGAGAAGTAACTTACTGAAGGTTAGGACCTCTCTTGTAGAGAGCGTAGTAGATCATCCAAGGAGTGGAGAGAGAGAGTGATGCTGCTTATGCATCTCTCCAGATTGTAATACTAGTTTTCTTTATCCAGATGTGATTCAGCACTGCCAGAGGGTGAAGCCAGTCATTGACCTGGTTCACAAGGTCATCAGCACCGATGTGTCAATAGCAGATTGTCTTCTGCCAATCACATCACGGATCTACATGCTGTTACAGAGGTAAGTAGCTGACTAGCAGTGACAGTTAAGGCACCCCTGAAGTTGCCAGAAATGGGGAAAATGGTCAACAACAAATTTTACCAAAGACTATTTAGGAAGTCTGTCGCAGAGCTGGGATTAGAATTCTGGAGTTCCTGCCTTCATGTCCTGTGCTTAGACCACTAGACCACCTTGCCTACACACAACCGTTGTATTGCTTTAACTATTATGATATAACAGTACAGCTCTCTCTAATGTGAATGCAATTGTATCTGTATAAATGCACCTGGTATAACTATCCCTGAAGGAAGGAGAATACGCTTTACCAGTATAAGGCACTTATATAACTGTGTCTACACTATGGGTTGTACAGAGTTAACTATTTCAGCAGAGAAATCACAACCTCTCTATACCAGTCAAAAAACTGTGTAGACCTGGCCTAAGTTGTAAAGATTTTATATATAATACTCTGGGTTTTTCCTAGGTTAACAAGTGTGATCTCTCCCCCAGTGGATGTTATTGCTTCTTGTGTCAATTGTTTGACTGTATTGGCTGCCCGCATGCCAGCTAAGGTGAGGGGATACCTTCTGATTTTCCTGAAATGGAATAGTCTGCGCGTGTGTATATATAAGGAGGTATATTTATACTGCTCTCTCCTCTTCTAGGTCTGGACTGATCTTCACCACACAGGGTTCTTACCATTTATTGCCAATCCAGTTTCCAGTATGAGTCACATGATTAGGTAATTCAGTTTTCTCTTGTGCCTTTGCTTCCCATATGAGGTGTAAGTGTTTCACTAGTGTGAATTCCAGACTTTCTAAAATCCAGACACCTAATGTTCCATTCTTACATAGTAAACTGGCAAAATCCTTATTGTAAATTCAGTTCCACTGAATCACATGTGACTGTAAAGTGTTTGAGCTCCTTATATTTTCTATAAGGAGAAAATACTACATTTAGACATACCCTCTGATCATAAACGTGCTTAGCTTTGCAGCAGAAGCAAAATTAATCAGACATATAAAATACAAGATACTGCCCTTAAGAAGTGTAATACTTCTTAAGTGCAAGGGTGATTTGTCCTGAGCTCGGTGAGTCACCTTTTCTCTACTCAGGATCATTCCCCCATGTGTATTAGTTAATGTGATTCCCCTCCCCACTGCACATATGCGCACACTTCTCCGTCATGCTTGGTTCCTATTGTACATACAATGCATGCTTTCGCTCCTTCCACAGTGCTGAGGGAATGAATGCTGGGGGCTATGGAAACCTGTTGATGAGCGTGGAACAGCCTCAGGGCGAGTATGGTGTCACCATCTCCTTCCTACACTTGGTCACAACTCTTGTCCGTGTAAGTGTTTCTGCCGTGCTCCTACATTTTCAGGCAGCAATAGGTTACTACTAGCTGGTGAGGGTGAAGATGAGGTAAAGGTGTGTACTGAATGTATGAGGTTCCCTTGGGTGGGGCCGCCTCTGGTATCCATTTGACAACATACCCACCTTTTGTGCTGGGGCTCCTGCTTTTCCCATGATTCGGTCTTTCCAACAATCATCTTCAAGTTGCAAATTGCACTCACTCCCTGATCAGGGTGGCAGGAGGGCTCAGTCTCTTCAAAGTCCCATTAACATTGCTCTGGGTAAGCAGGAAAGGAAAGCTCTTTGTCTGCTGCTTTTCCTCTTCGAGAGATCCAGGTGTATTTACCTCCATAACACATCTGATCTTCACTTGCCTTGAGTGCAAGAGAATAGAAATTGCTCATAAACCTCTGTCCCTGTGCTGCATTGCGCAGCACTGCTGGCAGAACTGTTCTGGCCCCTATTTCTGTCTTTGGAGTGTGAGGATTAAATGTCTTCCAACCAAAGATGTCACACCTTTGAACTAGAATCGAAATTGTAATGTTGCTGCTTTTTCTAGGGGCAACTTGGCAGCACCCAGAGCCAAGGGCTGATGCCCTGCATTGTATTTGTGCTGAAGGAAATGTTACCAAACTACCACAAATGGCGCTATAACTCCCATGGAGTGAGAGAACGAATTGGTAAGGATAGCTCTTCAAGGGGAGCAAAGTTGAACTCTGTCTAGAGAGAATGTGTCTTTCTCTGTTGCCCCCTCCCTCCCCCCCTTTCATTATAAATGGCTCAGTGAGCACTTGGATTTATACTTTATAATGTAATGGTACCTATTGCTTCTGAACTCAACAACTGCTCTCTCTGAAGACTGAATCCATTCTTCTTGCTTTTCAGGGTGCCTAATCCTGCAGCTCATCCATGCTATTCTGAATCTTTGCCCTGAAATGGATCCTCACAGCAGGTAAGGGGGAAGTGAATTTCATACATCACTGTGTATGCAACAGCCCCATTTACAGTGCAGAAGACCTCAGTCACTGTTCTTTTGTTCGTAACTTGGAATGTGAAATACTAAACTGGCAACAGTATAGTGTGCTGCTTTGTAGCCTTGGTCCATCTTGCTTACGTTGATCCCAGGGAAATGTGGAAAGGGGTGGGAGAGAGGGCAAACCCAGATGGTTATGCAAAGCTGCTGATGAAGGGAAGGAAACCAGTGGACAGACTTAATTTTATACTGCTGCAGATGTGCACATTCCAGACTGCCATCCACTTCTCTGTGGTTGGTGTGCCCACTCTGAGGATTTGCACCTAACATATTGGGGAATGGGGGAGAGATGAAGTGAGGGGGTGGTATAGAAATTGAAAGACGTTACTTTGTGTTAACTTTCATGGTGCATGGTGGATCAGTAGGACCCTTCTATCTTGCACATTTCTAATGTGCTCATCCCTGTAGTGTCTGGGTTGATGCTGACACTGATACATGTTGAGTGTATCAGATCAGGCAGAGGACCTTTCCTTTGATTGCTTGCTTTCCAATGTGTGTATCCTTGTCTTGCAGCAATGCTCCAAGCCTGCAGTCCTTGTGCATCTTCAGCCTGGCCAACACGGAAGCAGGACAGGCTGTCATTAACATCATGGGCATCGGTGTGGACACCATTGATATGGTAATGGCCTCACAGTCCTGTAGGTGAGTCACATGTTCCACTCTTGTGGCATGGAAAAAGCAGCAACAAATCATACTTGAAATGTGGTTTAACTGGGTTACATGTTGCTGGGAGTCAATGGAGCTGCCAGTCAGGGCAACTGTCTCTGATCAAAATTCTGAAAAAATTACCAAGAACCTGCTGCTTATTCACAGCTTTCTGTCGCTTTGCTTATTCTCTTCATAGACATTCCCTGATTCCTGCAGTTGCTTTTCATTTCTGATTTTGCTTAGCCTAACTGAGTATTGCACTATGGAAATGAGATGTGGGTATGCTTGATTGTTTCACACTTGCTTGTAGTAATGCTATTATAAAGAGCTCACTAGATTCAGCATATAAAAGTACCAAATTAAGTAAAAGGCAGGAAAATTATGGCAAAAGTTCCAATTTTATTGCCTCCAAATCATGCCTTGAGTCCAGTACAATCTGCTAGCATGAGTAAACCATTACAAAGCTTGAGTTGCAGTGTTAGAAAGTCCTTGTGGTTTCTTGATTAATCAGTTTCTTAAAGGTGGATTCCTGAAGGCAGTACTGGGGGCTGCTTCACAACTTAAACCTCCTCCCCAACCAGTTATCAGGACAGTTACTTTTGGACACTTCAACAATGGTTAAATCCCTTTATTTATTAGTGTGTAACTAAAGGTCCTTCTGTGCTTTGAAAAACTCTCTCTGTCCCTTAATAGTGTGCTCAGGGGACCCACCCAGCCTTTCTGGCTCGGGAGCATTAACTCTTCAGATACTTTAACAAATCTGGTGGGGAAAGAGGGAACCTAGAATACAGTGAAAACAAATAGAAATATTGAATTAGAGATTTTTCACAGACTGATGCCACATGACTGCAGTACAGATAATCTGTAGTAGAAGTTTTCAGACTTCTTAGTCTGGACCTTAAGTATGAGTGTGCGTGCGCGCGCACGGAGTACACCTGCCCTTCCAGTTGTGACCATGTGGACCCCGTCCTCTCCCATTCATGATAGCATAAAATCTCTCATGAATGTAGCAGTTGCTTATGTGGAAAAGTAACATTAGGAAAGTACCTAAGCATTTTAGCTGCCTTTAATGTGGGTTGCCCTTTGTGAAGAAAGTTAATCAAGCTGCTTACTTTGGCTCTTCATTTCATCTACCCTCCTATCTGTTCTGCTCCTCCCCCCACCTGCACATACTGCTTTACCACGTAGTCCTCCTCTCCCCTGCACATTCAGGAAGCAAGGAAGAGAGCCAGCACTGTATGGCTTGCTGTCTCTTCACGGATCACTAGCAACTGCTTCCCAGACCACCAGTGGTATACAGAGGTCAGGGGTTTTCAACTCTTTGATCTGTCATAGAGACACATGACACTGCTATATTTGGTTATTTTACAGTAGCTGTTGGATGCTGTCTCATCACCCTGTTTATACAGTTGGCTGTTGTTCCTTAGCCAAGTTTGGTTTAGTCAAAAATAGTTCCTTAACAATAGTGTCCCAATAGTGTGCTCCCTTTCCTCTCCTTAAAATGACCATCACTTATTTATATGCAGCATTGTTGTAGTCGTGTTGGTCCCAGGATATTAGGGGGACAAGGTGGGTGAACTAAGCTTTTATTGGACCAACTTCTGTTGGTTTAGAGAGACAAGCTTTTGAGCTTACACACAGCTATTTGGACAGTTACCTTACATCTGTATCAAAGGTAGCATGCATCAGCAGTTATGATACTATGTGTGCTCCAGGGCCTTGTTTACCCATCTATGCCAAGGACATTTTAATCTTTTTGATACTCTTGCTTTTATACATTAGTCCTTGAATTGTTCTGGCCTTGCCTCTGTACTTACCCCTTTCCATGCTTCCTGTGACTTGCTTCTATAAAAATGAAGTAGCATGATCTTAGAAATTTTAGATTTATTTTACTTGTTTGGTCCAACAGTTATACTCACTCACTGGAGAATTTCAAGGGAATTGCACGCATTGCAGATTTGTGGAAGTAAGTGTAATATTATGCAAGCCAGAACCACCCCACCCTTCCAAAAAACCCTTATGTTCAGATAACATGCTGTGTCTGACTTATGGTGAAGACTAGCTTTATCTCATCCTCTTGTCCCTCTGTATTATAGCCTTTGTAATACGTAAAATCACCCATAATTTGGAAACATACATGACGTTGGCATGGCGGGATGGGATAAGGATAAAGCATCAGTTTCAATTCTGAATTGCCTCTTTGTTTTCATGGAATTATCTAAACACAGTAATAACTCTATCGTTCAGATTGTAACAGCTGACATTATAAGTCTGATCTTGAACTTGGCTCTCCTCTGTGTAACTTTCTGTAAATTTTCCTTTCTGCCTGTATTTTCTTCTCCATAGTCTCTGTGCATAGTAGAATCTTTTTGCAAAGTTTTGAGGTTAGTTTCTTAGTTATGGGAGTCTGAAGAAATAAAGAAGGGGACTCAAAATTGTTACAACTTGTTTTGTCTTTTCATAACTGAAAAATGGCTTGGTCTGAAAACTTCACATTTGTTTTACATGCTAATTCTCAGTTAGAACTGACACACAGGACTGTTACTAACAAGCTGAAGTGGAAAAGCTTGTAATTACAAAGGGTCAGATTTTAAGGTTTTAAGTATAAGATTGTTTCTGTGACAGTTGTGCATGTATCTGCAGAGTTTCATAAGAGGAACTAGTTGGGGATTTGAAGAGGTTATAAACTCTGCCTGTTGCCTGAGGGAGATCTCAAGTAATCACCACAGACAGCGGAGGAGTTGGGTCCTGCTTACAGCAGGGTACCTTTGCCCCCTCTTTGTCCCAGACTAAGCAGCTCCTAAAGCAGCTGTCCAGTTAAGGGGAAATATTGGTCTTCATACTGAGGCCCCATCTAGCCACCACCCAAAACTGTGTGACCCGACTTCCAGTTTCACTCTGAGACACTGAGTGACCCTCTGCCCCAGGTATAGCAATTTGCCTCGCCTCATCTTCCTATTTCCTTGCCATGACCATTCTCATCTTAACACGCCTGCCCGCCCCTAAAGATGTATTGTGATGAAAAGGGGTTAGGAGGCCTTAAGGCTCACCCCTTCCACCTCTGCTTTGTTCCAGAACAAAAGGGAAGGGGGAGCCTGGACTTGTTAGGGGGAGGTGAGATCTGTTGGGAGGTTGTGGCATTAATCTCTAAAAAATTGTCCCTAAACTTTAATAAGGGTTAAAAAGGTTAATACAATTCAGAACCAGTTTTTTCTTTGTCTGACCGGTTTGGACTCTTTATAAGTGAGACTAATGGTAAAAACAGCCCCTTACCGATTTGACAATCTACTGTGAAACCAAAGGCCATGTGGATCCTCTAACATCCGCTGATATAGACAGCAGAGTTTAGAACCTTCATGAGTGCATCATTTGCAAGAGACTTCTCATTTTGCACTAACCAGGATAAGATGTGCTAACAGCCAGTGGAGGTTTCTGCTTTTAAAAAGCCATCATAGGAGAAAATAATTATGCATTCAAAATTAAGAAAATTCAAAGTTAAATTCTCTGCACTAGCTTGAACTCTGCCCCAGATACCTGTCCAACTCCCACTTGTAGCCTAGAAGCTCCCTTTTTAACATTTGCCTTCCCATTCTTCAATCCCTTTCCTCCAGTACAGATCACTGACTCGCACTAAAAATGTATACTAGCCTATGAAATGCTAAACAGCTAACACATGGAAGTGAGACCTCTCCCCATTAAAGAATAGACTACAGTATCTTATGTCTTTTTCCACATACACATCACCTTCTGATCTACTATCAGACTGTAGGGAGTACTATCAGACTGTAGACCACCCAACACACTGAAAAGAGAGATGCCGCTAAACAGTTACACCTTCTGCAGATTTCAGAGTAGCAGCTGTGTTAGTCTGTATCCGCAAAAAGAACAGGAGTACTTGTGGCACCTTAGAGACTAACAAATTTATTTGAGCATAAGCTTTCGTGGGCTACATCCCACTTCTTCGGATGCATAGAATGGAGAGCTCTATGACCCATGGTACATTGCCAAAAGAAAGTATTTCCCATATGGTGCTCATTGAACAATATATGTACTCTAAAGGGTGGATTTATGTTCCATGCAGAAGCAGGTGAAACTCTCATGGGAGGGTGAGCAAGATATGGGGAAAGAGTTACCGTGGGTGGAGGAATCTTAACTTCAGATGTCTTTGCTTTCTAATGTTTAAGTGAATTATGTCTCAAACTTAACTGTATTTCAACAACTTTTTTTTGCCTGGTAATTAAGTTTTTAGCTTATTTTTTGTTGGTTTTAATCTCCCTCCTCCTACTCCTTGGCAATAATGGACGATACAAGAGTTTAAAAAAAAAATTACAGTTTTTTGGGGTTATTGGGTCTGTCTGAAAACTGCTTTTTGCACTCCTCGAACTTAAAAACTTATGAGCCAATTTAACTCCAACCTAGGGAAGAAGGAAAATCACAGAACAGTTACGCACCCCAAAGACAAGGGTTGAGAATAGAAACACATTCAGACCCTTGTGCTACTATTATAAACTCAAGATTAGTTATGCAGTAGTTTTTTTGCATTATATTGCTATACTTGCATGATAAGTGAGAGTGAATAGAGTTCTCTTACAACCTTTGCTCTTGCTTGATAGGACCACAGAATACTGAATTTGCTATTTGAATACTGTACAGCTAATGAGCATCATTTGAGTTGATTTTAATGCATTCCTTTTGGTTTCTGTTTGGCAACACAGCGATGAGTCACTGGGCCAGGGCCAGCTGCTGATCCAGACAGTAAAGCTGGCATTCTCAGTCACCAATAACGTCATCCGATTGAAATCCCCTTCTAGCGTGGTATCCCCACTAGAACAGGCACTTACTCAGCATGGTATGTACCTCTTTGTTGGTCAGCCCAGGCAGTAGTGTCTGTCCCTCGCACACAGATAATGTGTAACTTGCTAACATTGGATTGAGGTATGACTTCTCTGAACAGTGCAGTTCTCATCCAGCGTACTAGTGATGGGAGGGTGCCAGAGGGCATTCTCCTTCTCCAAGGGATTAGCCAATGGACATTTAGTAAATTCCCTATAATGTGGACTAGGCTAACAAGTTTTCCCCTTGCATTATAACCTTTACGGAACCCTCTTATACAATGACCCTGGGTATGTGACACTGGGCCCACTTTTGGGAGGGTAGCAGAATTGTTTTTCTCTTGCTCTTCACCCACTAGGATCTTGGTGGCACTAATGCTTCTGGTTCTTTGCAGCTCTGGGAGCAGTGTGGAAGCTTTGAACTATATTCTCATTGTTGGCTCACCAGGACTGCTTTCTAATAGCCACCTACTGTTATTTTCACTTGTTTTGTTTACTGCTTTCCAACATGAGACAGTGCTGAACGGTATGGTAAAGCAGCTGCCAGTAGTACCTACTGCTAGACCCATCCGTTGTCCTCTTGGAAAGCAGAATTCATTCCCTCTCACTCCCTTTCCACTCTAGTATAGAGTAGTATGACTGCCTACTAAATACTTGGTGAATAGTCTATCTCGAAGAGCCCTCATAGGAGACTATTCCAGCTTCTCGCCTGTGATTTAATTGTGTTCTCACCAGGTGCTCATGGGAACAATCTGATTGCTGTCTTAGCCAAATATATCTACCACAAACATGACCCAGCACTGCCACGCCTTGCCATCCAGCTGCTCAAACGACTCGCTACGGTAAAACTAGTTTCTCACAAGTGCTTTCCCATGCTTTCCCTTTTTGTTGATTCCACCACTTAAACTGTCTCCAGTGACCCTCCAAGATACAACCTGTGAATGTCCTTGCTTTGAGATTTCCAACCTTGTCAAAAAGGAACCTATATTAAGACTTATCCAGGGACCCTGTATTAAGACTTATTCTTTACCTATTAGACTAACACTTTTTGATTGTTAAAATCTGAAAGCTCCTCTGGGTTTTATTTAGGCATTTAAATGGTGCAATTTCAGGGGTATTAATTTTAACATGTCTCAGCCCAAATCTATGTAGCTGTCGGTCTGTCTTCTTCAGTTTTACCCCTTTCCTTGTGAAATAGATGAGGAATGGAGCATAATTCCTAAAGAGGCAACCAAAACTCAGAATGATTTGGCAATTTTCTACATGTTCCATTAAAATCAAAATTATTTCTTGATTTCCCCTCTCCCACGTCCCTGCGCTCAAGGGTGAGAATTTTCTGGAATTTCAGTTTAAAACAAATATCACAAGCCCCATTTATATATTGCGAGGAAGCATCATAGCGTTTATCTACATTTTTTTAGTGTGTTTCTTCCCTTTTGCAGGTGGCGCCAATGTCTGTTTACGCCTGCCTTGGGAGTGATGCTGCTGCCATTCGTGATGCCTTTTTGACCCGCCTGCAGAGTAAGATTGAGGACATGCGCATTAAAGTCATGATCCTGGAGTTCCTCACTGTTGCTGTAGAGACACAGCCTGGGCTCATTGAGCTGTTCCTGAACCTGGAAGTGAAAGATGGGAGTGATGGGTCAAAGGTAAAACAGCAAGTGTCTACATAAGCATTTACTGGAGTAACAGGATATTCCTATCTTTACATATGGCTTGGAGCTTTCCTGGCTTTGTTCCTTATTTTAGTAAAGATCTCTAAGGCTTTACTTTGTCCTCAGTATGAGTGTCTTTGTCATACACCCCGAGGTGCCTGACAAGATATTGAACCTTGGTTTTAATGCTGTGTAGTCTGATTCTGGGATGAGAACCTTCTGATCAATTGGCAACAAGGTTCCCTTCGACCAAAGAGAAATCTTCCTGTGTTCTCCAACCACTATGCAAGCACCTCCTGTTTCAGTATGCTATTTCATTGCACCTGCAAAATACACAGGGAAGTAAAACTTTTTTCCTGCCCCTTGAAGTAATCTGACTTATACAAATAATTTATTCCGCTTTTCACTGTCTTTTTAGATATTCTTCATAAGTGTTCTATATTAAATGTATGTGTATATGAAATACACACCTATACCATGTGCTCAAGCTTTATTTCCCTGTGTATTTTGTAGGTGGAATTAAATAGCATACTGAAACAGGAAGTGGTTGGATGTAGATGTCTCTCATTTTCTCCCTCTTGCTTTAGGAATTCAGCTTAGGGGAATGGAGTTGCCTCCAAGTGGTCTTGGAACTGATAGACTCCAAACAGCAGGAAAGATACTGGTGCCCTCCCCTCTTGCACCGGGCTGCCATTGCATTCCTTCATGCTCTGTGGCAGGACCGTCGGGATAGTGCCATGCTGGTCCTGAGGACCAAGTGAGTCATTGCTTTTCTATGCTGTCTTTAGATGTGGCCTATATTCCTTGTTTCTAGATGTATAACTTTGGCTGTTTTCAAAATATATTTTGTTTGAATGGGCTCAGTTTACCAAGCTCTCCAGATCACTCTGTGTGACTGCCCTGTCCTCAGCATTTACTATACCGCCAAACTTTGTGTCATTGGCAAATTTTATCAGCAGTGATTTCATATTTATTTCCAGTTCATTGATGAAAATGTTGAATAGCATTGGGCCTAGTACCATTCACAGGCTGATTGAGAATGGGCTGTTTTAAACTCTATTTCAGTGAATAGAAATGAACATATCCCACCAGTTCTGACCGGTTGGAGAATGCCTTTTAATTGTAACTTAGATACTTGGTGGTCAGACTCAGAGGCTTCTCAGCTAATAGCTGGTTAGATCTCCTCCTCCAGTCTCCTGGTAACCTGCTTTGCATGCAAAACATTGGGGAAAATTTCAATAGTTAGGGACGTTTATGTTAGGGAAAAATTAAACTTTCTGTTGTGAAGCACATATGCACAATTCTGTTGAAGTAACCCTCCTCTTTCAGTGTGCTCTGCACTGCCAGGTGAGTAGTGTTACTACAGGTATGGTGTGTGAAATATCTCAGACAGTGGAGTTTGCAGTGAAAGGCTGGCAGGATCAGGCTGTTCTTGTCAGGTGTGCTGTTTAGGTCTGTGGCTCTCAACCAGGGGTACGTAGAGGTTTTCCCGGGGATACATCAACTCATCTAGATATTTGCCTAGTTTTACAACAGGCTACATAAAAAGTACTAACACAGTCAATGCAAGCTAAAATTTCCTACAGACAGTGATTTGTTTATACTGCTCTATGTACTATACACTGAAATGGAAGTATAATATTTATATTCCAATTGATTTATTTTATAAATATATGGTAAAAATGAGAAAATAAGCAATTTTTCAGTAATAGTGTGCTGTGACACTTTTTTGTATTTTTATGTCTGATTTTGTAAGCAAGTAATTTCTAAGTGAGATGTAACTTGGGGGTACGCAAGACAAATCAGAGCCCTAAAAGGGGTACAGTAGTCTGGAAAGGTTGAGAGCAATAGGAGAAGTATGGTAACTTACAGTATTTTGTGTGTGTTTTTAGGCCAAAGTTTTGGGAAAACTTAACCAACCCCCTCTTTGGGACCCTTTCTCCCCCCTCAGAAACATCAGAGGTGAGTTGTTAATAAGGACTGAAAATAGCTGTGTTTTTCTGAGAAGTGAGTGGTGCGTTCAACTTCCTTCCTTTTGCTTGTTGCCATCTCAGAGGAAATATGGTTGGGTAAAGCACAAGGAGGAGTTCTGAGAGTGGGTTTTATTTCCAACGCTTGCACGGATTAGCTGTGTAACTTGGATTAGTCTCCTGAACTCTCACTGCCTCTGTTTCACCATCTGTAAAACAGAGATAACCTCTACCTAACAGGGACGATGAGGCTTACCTCCTTAATGTTTGTAAAGAACTAGTACACTAGATGTGCAAGTGTGTGTGTATTTGTTTATATACATACGTGTACAGGATAGTTTGCTCCTGTTCCCAGACAGCTGAACAATCTCTCCTCCTTACTGGGCCTACCTCAGACTGACTTGGGCTCCTGAGGATTTTGCCATTCTTCTGCTTTGAAAACTTCTATCTTCCCTGTGAATATCTTAATCCCCCTCCATCCAGCTGTCATACAGATTTGAATATGGTGCTCTTCCCTTGTTGGCAGAGTAGATGAGCACTGTCTACTAAGGCAGCTGCTCTTACATAAGGCCATTTGATCCTTACTCCCGCCCTAACTAGAGAAGATGGCTGTGGCACTCTCATGGGTGGGACAGTTCTCACAGGAAAGTATAGTACCATTCACTCTGCCTCTAGGTGATGAGCAGGCACAAGTCTTGCTTCCATCCCTGTCAGCCCCAGGGAGGCCCAGACGGTTGCCTTTGTGCTACTCCCTAGGCCCTGTTGGCATAATGCTCAGGAATCCAAGGGTAACAGGAAAACTGGGGCCACTTGAATAGCATAAGGGGGCTTGATTGACAGTGTGGGTGCCCTGGACTTTTTAGACTATGGTCCTCAACTCTCTTTGTAGGACAGAGCTTGGGACACCGTGCTGCCAGATCTGACCTGGAGCAACAGATAACTTGCTTATGCTCTGCTTTTATTCCCTCTTTGTAGCTCAGTGTCTTGGACACTTGTGCCTTAATCATGAAAATCATCTGCCTGGAGATCTACTATGTGGTCAAGTGAGTCATTGATAATCTGTCCTGCTCTAGAGTTTTCAATGATGCTTGGGGCACCTGAAAGTGAGGGCAAAGTCCTGCGCTGTGTGTGGAGTACATACTAAGAGATTATCCATGTTTGAGGGAGAGGCAAGTTGAAGCTAACAGTTCTATGGAAATGCTGGAGGGACAGTCAGTAGTTTACCTGTGGCCGCTGGGGCTCAGAAGAGAAGAGCACAAGCCTGCCTCATTTGATTTGAATTTCATGCAGCCATCTATTAGAGGAATAGATGTCATGAGAAGAGTTTCTGTGGCCTGTAAATGTGACATTCTGGGTATGGATCACAAAAGAGGAATATCTGTCCTGGAATAATGAGACTTTAAATATTTGTAAACTCATTATGGGACTATGCTAGCCACATGTAATACAGTGAAATGTTCCCATCACACACTGGATGCTAGGACTAAAATTAGGACAATCTAGCTTTTCTCCAACTCTGTAGCAGTGCACAGTATTAAGTTTGTGTCCATGATGTTTATGCCAGAAAATTTTACTTTGCTTCAGTAGGATTCTTTGGATAGAGTGGGGTAATCGTGTTTTATAAAAAAGTTTCACCATTTTAATATTTATAATTATGGCATGACATTCATTTACTACTTTAGCTTCTTGTAATGTTGGGTGTGTCTTTTTGGAGGGTGGGGCAAGGACATTCTTCTGTTGGTCTAGCATTGCCAGATATGGTATTTTATGGTATTGAGGTAATACTACATAGAATAGTCTCTATTAAACATATTTCCTTTGATAAGCTTAGTTTTGTTTGAAGTGTGTATCAACTCTGTAAAATAACACTGAGGGCGTTCAAGTTTGTGTCTCTGACTTCTAAATCAAACTTCCTCAGCTTACAAATGAATGGATGATTTTCTAGTTCCCAGACTTGCAAAACATATCCTGAGGTTTAGAAGTCCAGAAGTGTGTTCTCTCTCTCTCTCTGTCCCACCAGAAATAAAATTCTCAGTAAGATTTAAAATTAAGTCTGAAACATGATCCAGAATGGATTCCAGCTTCTTCTCCCAGACCTGCGCTGTTCTGCAGGGCTAATAGGAAGCAGTAACTTACTTTTATCCCTAAAGTCAGCAGAATACACAGACAGGGAGCTGATTACATACTCACTTTCCTGAATGTAACTACTGTTCCGAAAAGTTAGGAATAAATAAAAATCACATGTTTAAAAAGATGAGTTGGTTCTCTCCAGGGGTCACTCTTCTTCCATACCATTTGATGCAATAAGTGGGGTCCCCTTCTGAATTCACTCTGTGTGGGACAGTCTTGCCCCACAAGCTGTGCCCATAACTTTTCAATCTGAATCTTAGGAGGAGCGTCTTCTCTGATCAAAGAATAAATGAATTATCTGATTTCTCTTCTTGGCTTTGTCAGGGGCTCACTGGACCAGTCCCTGAAAGACACCCTGAAGAAGTTCTCCACAGAAAAGCGCTTTGCTTACTGGTCAGGATATGTGAAGTCATTGGCATTACATATGGCAGAAACAGAGGGTAGCAGCTGCACCTCCTTGACGGAGTATCAGATGCTGATCTCGGCCTGGCGAATGCTGCTGATTATCTCCACCAGTCACGTAAGAGCCATCTTGACTAATAATGATTTGAATAGATACGGGACCTGTTATTCAGGCCACATGTGGCGCAGTAAGGGATCAGGCTGTTGGCTTTTGTTTCCATTATCTTGTATGTGTACTCACAATCCGAATGGACACCAATACCGTACAGCAGAATTACCTCAGTGAGTTTTGTTTTGCCAAGTGATCAAAACTAGCATACTGTATGTGTGTGGCATGGGAGTGAGGGGATGTTGCATCATTTCTATAATAAGTGTAAAGAAAGCCAATAACACTGTCTATACCCAGAGAGATGCAATAGGTAATTATTTTCTACTGCATTTTCCACTCCATGCATCTGATGAAGTGGGTTCTAGCCCACGAAAGCTTATGCCCAAATAAATTTGTTAGTCTCTAAGGTGCCACAAGGACTCCTCATTGTCTTTATAGTAAAGTGTGGTGAAGATGCACAGTGTATACCCTGTCCCCAATTACCAGTCACTCAGTGTTAACTTTTTGCCCCATGCTTTTCTAAAACTAGTAATTCTTAATTTTTCTCTATAATTTAAATCATCCAGCAGATGCAAAAGCCTATGCCACCTTATAAATTAATAACAAATACAAAAAAAAGGGGGGGGGGGGTTGATGTTGGATTGGAAAGATGAGGATGTGTGTTTTGTTGATGTAACTTTCACTATCGTGTATAATTAGTCTGAGCTCTCTCTTTGTCTCTGATCTGTCTCTAGGCAGATATAATGCATCTGACTGAATCTGCAGTCCGGCAGCAACTGTTTCTGGAGGTGCTAAGTGGGACCAAAGCTTTAGTAAGTGTTTGCATTTCAATTTGTAGCTCTTCAAGGAATCTGTTTCAAGAATGGGAGCACAATTGTCCAACTCCTTGGTGGAGCTCTAGTCTTGTATCTATTTGTGGTTCAGATTTTCCCTGATTCTGTGAGATTAGACTGAAACAAAAAGGTCTCTCTCAGAATTACTTTGCTCTCCATAAGTCTTTATTCTCCAAATTATATTTGATTTTCTTGGCCAGCAGGTGACACTGCAATTAGTGCTATCTAGTGATCCTGCAGCGTTGCCAGCTGGGTGTGTGTGTGTGTTTTGGGTTTTTTTTAGCACAAACGCAGTCCCCCACTACCACAAATTATGCAGTCGAGTTTCCCGCATTTGGGGAAATCGCAGGGGTCAGCACACCCACAGTGCAATGGATGAGCCTCACCCTGGGAAAACCACCTTTGTGATCATGGTATCTCCCCTGCCAGCTGTTGAAAGGCAGGCATGGTCATTGGCTGGACCCTGTGTACTCATTCCAGCTACCTGCAGTGTCGCTTGCTGTTGAAGACAAGGTCGATTACCTGCTAGATCTTCAGTTGCTGCACTGTTTCTGCACCGGCTGATGATGACTATAATAGATGTTTCTTTTAGGTGGATGTTTCACCTGGGGATAATTTCCTCTCTTTCCTCTTGAGATAGCAAGAGGGAACTGTGGTGTATGGCTTTACGCCAATAAAAAACAAGTGTGCCACACTTTCCATTCCACGTAGGTTGCAAGTTGAGATGTAGAATTTATAAACAGGATCTTGCAATGGATCCTTGGAACATAGTAACCTCACTGCTGAGAGTTAAGTTCTGTTGACCAAATGGGCTAGCACTTAAAATGTGCTGTTAATATCCAGGACTCCACACGCTTTTCTTATCAGTCGTGGGGATGGATCTCTGCTCCCATAGCTCTGTGGAAGGACATATTGAGTCGCATCATCTTTTTATAATCGATAGTACCATAAACCTCTTTAGCTACAACATGGCTGTTTCTCCACATACTCTGTTGACTACCTGCTCTGTACACAAATCTGCTTGGAATATAGCAGCTGGGCAGGGGTGGGATGGGGAAGCAAGCTCTTAGTGCTCTCAATGTCCGTGTTGAGCCTCTTCATCTTTCTCATCTGTGAATGTTGCAACTGTAACTTTTGGGACATCTCTCCTTAGCTGCTGGTCCCCATGTCGGTGTTGTGCCTGCAGCTGGGGTCCATGCTGTGCACCCTTCTGCTGATCCTGCTGAGACAGTGGAAGAGGTAGGTGCGCTATTTGGATAACTCTTCATAAGTAAGCTAATAGTCACTGATGAATGTAAGAACTTGGAAGAAGATGTTTGAGTTGCTGTATAGACTGAATTGTGATGGTGATCTGGGAAATAAAGCAATACCTTATTGTTGCACAATACTCTTTATCTTGCCAGGCCATGGCTTTGGGGACTGTGCGATCGCGGGATTCACATTGAGGGTGGAATTGATGATGGGTGCTGCTGCTGAACTTTATTGTTAAATAGTGATTTTATGCTTTTGAGAGTTTACTTTCACTGAGGAGAAGTGGGACAAGGAAACTTAAATTATAACGAGCCTGCAATCTCACTGTATTTCCGCCACACATTTCTGAAATATCCATGATGAGGCCCTACTGATGACTTAAATTAAGCAAACTGTATCTGTGCCCCTACACACACATCCCCTAGACGTGATTTGCACAGATCAGTCACAGCCAAGATGATAAGTGGGGAATCTTGTCTCATCTGACGAGCTCTACCTTTTTTGTTGTCAGCGAGTTGGGTTCTGTGGATAAAATCATAAACTCCTTGACGCAGATTCTGGAGGGAGTGCTGCAGGCAGATCAGCAGATGATGGAGAAGACCAAGGCCAAGGTGTTCTCTGCTCTCATCACTGTTCTGCAGATGAAGGAGATGAAAGGTGAGAGGGCCTGGCAGAGGTTATGAAGATCAGAGCTGCCACCACTGGAAACACTTGTGTCCCATTCAAACATTTTCGAGTCAGGAATGCCCACATTGTTGGCTGCCAGTGCAGGACAGTGACTATAGTTGGTAGCCAGTGGGATTTTTCTGTTTAATTTATCTTGTTTATTATTTGTATTATGGTAGCTCCCAGAGGCCCCAGTCAGCATCCAAGTCCTGTTTTGCTTGGCGCTGTACAGCACAGAGTCAAAGGCACTCCCTGCTCCAAAGAGCTTACAGTTTTATCGCTTAATCTTTTTATATGGCCCTCGTCCCCACGATCTGAATGCTGCAAGGCCTGTCTCCATGCACTTTTTGAGAAGAATTTAGGTTGAGCACGAGAGGGCTTAATTTTAGTTGTATTAGCACTTGTGCCCGCCGATGGGTTATTGTCAGCTATAATGATAGGGAAGGGTGGTGCAGTTCATAAAGTTGGACTATGTATATGATGGGAATTGAATATTTTAAGGGGTCTCAAACATGAGCTGGGTGTTTGTTGAATGAGAGAAATGTAGGAATTGCTGGACTAGACCACATCCATGGTTCCATGGTCCTTCAAGTCCAATATCCTGTCTCTGACAATGGCCAGTACCAGCTGCTTCAGAGAAAAGTGCAAAAAACCCTGTAATGGATAAGTATAGAATAACTGCCCCTGCTAATGGCTGGTTTATGCTCTGAAGCATAAGAGGTTTGTAGCCATTCCCCCCCCCCCCCAGATCCTGTTTATTATGATTGTACATATTGTCATTATCCAGATGAATGTCTAATCCCTTTTTGAGTCCTCCTAAGCTCTTGGCTCATTCGGCTGGCTTTGTTAGGTCCCTTTAGAGTTCCTCACAGTCGCGTGTAGGTTATAAATAGATATCTGTAGAATAATGAAATGCAAAGCGAATAAGTCCTGTCTCTGAGAGGTGGAGGCCCCAGCAGTGCAGTAGTTAAACTGAAAACAGAAGAGCGAGGATGCTGAGTTAATCCATTGTGTGCTCTGTGTGTGTGTCCCATAGTGAGCGAGATCCCTCAGTACTCCCAGCTGGTGATGAGCGTGTGCGAGACCCTCCAAGATGAAGTAATTGTGCTCTTTGATCAGACACGACACAGCCTCACGTCTGGAGACTTTGCAGATGACAAGGACAGCATGGAAACAGATGATGCCTGCCGGGGTAAACACAAGGACCAGCGAGATGGGGTAAAGGAATCATTCGCCTGCTCTGCAGCCATGTTCTCTTTCTGTAAACAAAGTTACTTGCTGTGTCCGCTGCACCATAAAATGCCCCATCTGCATCATATCACTAGGTAGAAAATGGAGTGTCTTGATGCTTTATTTTGCCAGATAGGATTTGCAGGGTTATTCGCTTCCTGGTGGCAGAGCCCCTGTGCTTATGCCCAGACATAGGGGATAGGTTATTGAGACATGCTTCTCTTGCTATACTAAAAGTTCTGGGAAGGTGCTCTTCAGAAATCTGCTCCTTCTTGTGTGCAAGGCTGTTTGAACTTTAATACGAGGTTCCTGAAAACACACGGAGCCTGTTCTTAGCAGGCGTCTCTTCCAAAATATTTAGTTAACACCCTCTGATTTCTCTGGTATCTACAGAGGTGTCTAAAAATATTCCCTACCATGTGTCTGCTGACAGTGTACATGGCTGGCTTGTTTCTCTATGATGTAAGTCAAAGACTTTGCCTCCAGCACCTTGCGTCTCCTATACATCAAGCAGGTCAGTTACTAGTGGCAATATATATACCTCTTGAGATAACAACCCCAGGAGAGCAAGTCTGGAAGTCTGATTGTGTCCGTCCTGTATGCTGAATGTACATTTGCCAAGTAGCAGATAGGTCTGAACTGCCCTATAGACTACAGTAAGTGGGATACCAAGGAGGATTGTGGTCTCTTTGTTGGAGCTGGGGACTTGGGGTCAGGACGCCTGGGTACCGTCTCTGCTATTGACAAGCTCTGTAACCTTGCCTGAGTTATTTAACCTCTCTGTAAAATTAGTATTATGTTTACTACCTCCCAGGGCACTGAAACTATTAATACTTAAAATTTGCTTGGAAATGATCATGAAAGGTTTTATAAGAGCAATGTGGTGGTTGTCATACGAGCAGTTAGGATACTCCCACCTCAAAGGGGGAAGAGTGAACCCTTGAAATTGTGGGCTCAAATGTGCGAAAGTCTTCAGTGGCCTCTGTGTATGTTTCACACTTCACTCCTTTTTGACCCATTACCTCTAAAGAGACTGTGAGTTGGTCCTGACTGTGAAGGACTATTGTAGCTGTGAGTCTAGTGGTGTCAGGTCTCCTCTGAGTACCTTACTGCAGGAAATGGATTGTTACTGCTTCTCTCCGAAATCTGTTTTAAGGAATTTTGCTACTATGCAGCCCAGTAAGTGTACATAGTGTTTACTGATGCCATAATTCATGTATGTGAGAACAGTTACAATTTAGATCCCATCTACCCATTTGTTTTTGGACAGCCTTTTAATGTCTGTCTTTCCTCCCTATCCCGCACTCTGGGATCTCTCATGTCCCTTTCTCCCTCCTTCCCTGGTGCCGCAGGTGTGTGTTCTAGGGCTGCATCTGGCAAAGGAACTCTGTGAAGTAGATGAAGATGGAGATTACTGGCTGCAGGTTACTAGGAAGGTCCCTATGCTGCCTACTATCTTCACTGCCCTAGAGATCAGCCTGAGAGTTAAACAAAACCTTCACTTCACAGAAGCCTCATTGCATCTACTGCTGACCTTAGCCAGGACGCAACAGGTGAGAGAGACACACAAATGAGAGCTTCTTGCTGGATTGTTGGCTCTATATTTAAAATGCAGTTCATCTCACTGCACTGTGTGTTGGCAGCATCAAACTGTACAGCTGAGCAGTGGCACCATTAAAGCCCTGCCAAGGGGGAGGAGTTAGTTGTAGGTCTTGTACAAAGAACTGCTTAGTATTTCCTTTCCTTGCTTTTCTGGATAATGGAATGTCTGTGCTGGAAGAACAGAACCAATCCTGCCCTAGTGTAAACCTATAATTCAAAGCAAGTGCTTTCCCTGCAAACACCCCCCGCCCCATCCAAATGTAGCCAGTACAGCTAAGACCGCTCTGAAATGCAAGAATCTGCTCTCCCTGTAGCCATAATATAAAGCAATACTTTTTTATTGAGACCTCAGCACTGTACAGGGGGAGGAGTATGTAAGGTTCCTTTCTTACAGGAACTTTCAGTCAAAGACAGAGGGGACACACAGGGTACCAGCAGATGAGGAGGTGTGTTCATCACACAGCCATGTCGGGGGAGGGAGATGTTGTTTTTCATTTTAATGAAAGAAAAGTAGCACTGTCTGGGGTGATGGAATTCAGGTTTCTGGGGTGCAGGGAAGAAGTGTCTGAAAGAGAAGGGTGGATGTGTAGAAAACAGAAGTGCTAGGGGCATCTCCCCCAGCTCAGAGACAATGGTGGTACCTCTGACAGTGACTTTTCTGTGTTGTGCAGGGTGCAGCAGCTGTGGCTAGTGCTGGTGTCACACAGAGCATCTGTTTGTCCCTCTTGAGCGTATACCAGCTCAGCACTAATGGAACAATTCAGGTGAGTGCTGCTTCCTCTTGATGTGGATTTGAAACTCATTGGGAAAACTGTCCTGCTCACCCTCTGCTGGCTCTGTACTGGAGCAGTCATGGGAATAGAAGAGATGAGCACTGTCACATGTGCCCTGGAGAACTCAGATGCCATTGTGAGAAGTGTGGGGTGTATTTGAGGGAGCAGAAAAACAAATAAACCATGTGTCTTGTTGTTGTGGCTGGTCTGTTCAGACACCTGCTTCATCTCGGAAGTCTCTGGATGCCCCATCCTGGCCTGGGGTCTATCGTCTCTCCATATCATTGATGGAGCGCCTTCTTAAGACACTAAGGTACAACTTCCTGACAGAGGCACTGGACTTTGTGGGTGTCCATCAGGAGAGGATTCTTCAGGTATGTCCACCCCTTCCCCTGTAATAGCTCAGTTGTCATGTATGTAACAGTAGCAGCCAGAATGTGCGCAGCTAGACACAGAAGACACAGTCCCTCCCTCAAATAGCTTACATTCTTCAAAAAATAGGTGAAGAGTCGGGGAAAGGGATTCACAAGCAAAGGGGTCAGACAAGTGATGGATACATGTCTTGGTAGCTATTAGATCCTGAGTTGTTAGCACTCATCCATCACTCTTACTCTTGGGGGTCCTAATTCTGCTACAGCTGTTTCATGCACTCACTCAACGCAATAACAGTTGTGGGTGCTGGGTGAGAGCCTAAAGACTGTAACCATCTGGTTGGAAAAGGAGAAACTGAAAACTGTTCTTAGAGGTGACCTCGCTCGGACTCCATCAGGTAATGAAAATGCTGCAGTCAAGACCCAGTGTCCACTTAGGTGGGCAGGTCGAATATCTAATACAGGGGTCGGCAACCTTTCAGAAGTGGTGCGCCGAGTCTTCATTTAATCACTCTAATTTAAGGTTTCGCGTAATACATTTTAACGTTTTTAGAAGGTCTCTTTCTTTAAGTCTATAATTTAGAATTAAACTATTGTTGTATGTAAAGTAAATAAGGTTTTTAAAATGTTTAAGAAGCTTCATTTAAAATTAAATAAAACGCAGAGCCCCCCGGACCGGTGGCCAGGACCCGGGCAGTGTGAGTGCCACTGAAAATCAGCTCGCGTGCCGCCTTCGGCACACATGTCATAGGTTGCCTACCCCTGATCTAATATTTAAATCCCTGTTACAGCTGAACTTTGTCAGGGCAAATTTGCTGAATAGCCCTGTTCCTAGGTAGGTGCTGAATTGTCTCTGTGTTAGCAGACTTCTTTGATAAATAGCTCTCTTGTTTTGGAGCAGGAGCACCTGCTGACTGGAACTGGCTAACTTGTAAACCTCAATGAGTTCAGAATGTCACTGGTGTCTCCAGTCTGTATTGGAGCTGGTAATTCTCCCACTGCTTTCTCCTTATGTGTATTCAGCTCTTCCTTCTAAGTAGGAGATAAATATTTTTGTGCTCTGTCCATCATGGTCTGCATCATTTCTCTCTCTCCAGTGCCTGAATGCAGTACGGACAGTGCAGAGCCTGGCCTGTCTGGAAGAAGCTGACCACACTGTTGGCTTCATTCTTCAGCTCTCCAACTTTATGAAAGAGTGGCATTTCCACCTTCCGCAGCTCTTGAGGGACATACAGGTAGGAACCGAAGCATTCCCTTGCGTACTACGTTTTCCCACACATTGCCCAGCACAGCAGGACAGAGAATGTGGCTAAGGGAGAGAGCTTGTAAATAGCTCTTTCATTGAAGCTGTTTTAATGGGGATCATAACAGGCCATTAAAGGAAGGCAGCTGTTTATCATTAAGGGTTTCTGGACCTTACAGTCACACAGCGAGGTATATTTAGTTGAGGGGGAGAAATTGACTGGGACTTGGAGGTGACAACTTTTGGAGGATTGACTGTCTTAGTGCATGTGGGTTGGAACCTCAGGGTCAAGATCTTAAGGAAAACATTGGTAAAATCTGAAAACGCCGTTGTTGCCCATTCTCTGGGGTGAAAGGTTCTGTTCAGACTGGATTTTTAAATTGTTAGGGTATAATAGTATAATTTAGTCTTGTGAGGGGACTCAGTAATGGAGAATTTGGATGCTTGTTTAGGTTGCAGCTATGGAGAGTGTTAGCTATGGATGGATCATTTTCCCCCCCCCCCTCTTGTTTCAGGTGAACTTGTGTTACCTCTGCCAGGCTTGTACCTCCCTCCTGCATAGCCGCAAAATGCTTCAGCACTACCTGCAGGTGAGGATGGGGGTCCCGGGAAAACTGAAGGGGGGAGTTCTGGCCCTGGGTCTCTCACCCATAACTAAGCAAAAGATCGATCAATATCTAGTCACTGTTTCCAGTGACAACTGCTGACCAAGACCAGCCCAGGAGCCAAGGTTTAGTTAATTATACCCCTCCACAACCAAAACCTAGGAAGAACAGCTCTGTGTGACGAAGTGGGAATGTTCTTAATGTTTTCTCTGAATACTGTGTGGGTGCCTCAGTTTCCCCTATGCATTTCTTAAGTATCTAGGTGGTGGGATAAGGGGGTGTGATTGGTGCAGAGCCCTAGAGGGCCAATGTGATGAATGAGAATGATGGACACCCTGTCTTCTGGCAACCAATGGCCTGGGCCCCTCCCCTGCAAAGCTGCCAACTGAAGGTGTTGGAAAACAAAGAGATCAGGTGGCCTCCTGGCCCGGGAAAGAGACAAAGGCCAGAGGAGGGGCTGGAGAGTTTCAGTTTGGAGCTGGCTGGGGAAACGGAGGAAGCCCCAGGGCTGGGGTCTAAGCTCCCTGCCCCACAAGAGGGACCTGACTGAGGGGTCCTGTTGTCTGTACCTACAAGCTCTGTTTTGGACTATGTTCCTGTCGTCTAATAAACCTTCTGTTTTACTGGCTGGCTGAGAGTCATGGTGAATCGCAGGAAGTGGGGGGTGCAGGGCCCTGACTCCCCCACACTCTGTGACACTCTGAAATAGGGGATGTTTTGTGGGCCAGTCATATTAAGCAGAATGTATCTGACATGGAAACCGTAGCCACTGCCTGAACTCTTTTATTAGCTACTTCCGAACTACCAGCTGTGCAAGGTGGAAACTGTCCCCCAGTGGTTATTGTACAACCCTGCCTCCTAAGAATGGGGAGACAGCAAGGACTTCGTGTCCTTGGCTTGATTTAAAGTGGGGGTGAAATATGGCTCTTGTAGTATCTCTAGATGGATTTTGGGTGGGAAGGTGATGCACTTCAGGCACCACTTGTGTTGGGGCTAAGGTTCTTTCTGTCAACATTTTGATTAGAAAAGCCCTTTCCAGAGCGTGGTCACAACACATATGCACACTGTACCCTTGCAATAAAGACAAGGCTGCTCCTTATGATGCAAGCTAAGCATAGACCTCAGGCTTCTAGTAGGTTGCCAGTGTGGCCCTTAGTTTGGCAAAGCGTGAGTATCTTGCTTTAGGGATTCCTGTTACTGGTAACTTGTTTTTCTGCAAAGCTTGGCCTTAAACTGCAAGGGATTGTATGTGTGTGTGTGTCTTCATTTGACTTCCTTCTCCACAGACAAAAAATGGTGACTCCCTCCCATCAGCTGTGACACCTCGAGTGCAACGCACCCCCCAGACCTCCTCCAAGCATCCAAGCCCTGAGTCAGAGGCAGCCGAGCAGAAGGCGCTGCGTACAGTGCAGTATGGTCTCTTGAAAATCCTCAGCAAATCTCTAGCTGCCCTACGCCACTTCACCCCCGACGTCTGCCAGATCCTCCTCGATCAGGTACAGGAACAGGAGAGTGATGTCTGCGGGGGAGGGAGTTTGAAGCACCCTAACTGATATTGTGGGTCTCAAGGGAGCCACAGCCTGTCCCATTCATACAGGAGACTAATCCCTCCCCCTAAAACACACAGGAGTCCATACCTGCACCCCAGACCACCTAAACTGAATTGCAAGGTACATCCTAGATTTTAGGCAACCAGAATGAGCATTTTATTGCTATTCATCAATGTTTGTGTGTTGATTCCATCTTAGGCAGTGACACAGGACGTTTGCACCTCTATTTACCACATTAGTCTTTTGATTCTGAAGAGCCTAGTAGCCAGATAGCTCTTTGGCATGGAGAAAAACTACTGTGCTATGCAGATGATATGATGATGTCCCCTCCTCAGACACTTGTCTTGTCTCAGTGTGCAGGATAAACTGGAGGTTGAGACTCTTTTCTTATTGCCCCTTTAACACCCTTTTCATCCCTAATACCTTAAGCAGGGGTGGTGGCCACACCCAAACCTTTAGCACTCACATTAATGCAAACAAAATGCTGTCCCTGGCTGTCAACGTCTGTATCTGCCAGCTGTTCTTTGAAAGGTGGAGCCCAAAGCAGGAGGTCAAGGTCCACGAACCCTAAGGAATCAGACACGGATCAGTTGGAAAGGAAGTCCTGTCTGCACTCTCCTATCAGGGGATTGAGAGGTGGAGGTGCAGATATTTTCAGAGCTTTCACTGGGATTGTTTAGCACAACCATGTGTGTGAGAGAGAGACACCCACACACATCCCACCCAATTTACCAGAGCAGACTAATGCTCCAACTAGTCTTACATCCTACTCTTGCAGTTACACATGCCTCACACTTCTGTTGCTTTTTACTTTATGAAAAGGCATCCTCCCAACATCCACTTTGCTAGCAGAGTGGGGCTCCATACTAACACAGCATAGCCTAGAGGGCAGAGCACTGGACTGGGACCCAGGAGATCTGGGTTCTGTTCCTGATTCTGCCTCCGGTTTATTGTGACCTTGGGCAAATTACTTCCTTCTTTGTGCCTCTGGCCATGTCTACGATGCAACGGGGGTCGATTTAGTGGGTCTAGTGAAGACCTGCTAAATCGACCGCAGAGCGCTCTCCTGTCGACTTCAGTACTCCAGCGGAACGAGAAGATTAAGGTAAATTGACGGGAGAGCGTCTCCCATTGACGCAGCATGGTGTAGACACCATAGTAAGTCAACCTAAGTTACGTCGAGTCCAGCTACGTTATTCATGTAACTTAGGTCGACTTACCACGGTAGTGTAGACAAGGCCTCTTTTTCAAGCTGTGAACTGGAGGAGATGATGAGACTGACCCTGCTTTGTAAAGTGCTTTGAGATCTATAGATGAAAAGTGCTGTACAGGAGCTAGGTGGTGGGTACAACGCATTCCTGCTGTTTGGATTCACTCCTGTCTCCTCTTCCCTCCAGTCACTGGACCTGGCTGAGTACAACCTTCTCTTTGTTCTGAGTTTTACAACACCTGCCTTCGATTCAGATGTCGCTCCCTCCTTTGGGACCCTCCTGGCCACTGTCAACGTAGCCCTTAACATGCTGGGAGAGGTAGGAGTCCACGTTCTCCTAATTCAGTCTGTGAAAGCCGAAGGGGCTGAGAAGAGGCATAGCAGTTGTGCTGTGTTTTGAGCTCTGTTCTGAGCTCTGTTCAGCTGTTTTAAGGAGGAGTGGGGGCTGACCCAGGTAGCTCTCCTCCCCTTCCGCATCTCCAGGCTCTAATACAACTTTCCTCTTCCCTCTCCAGCTGGATAAGAAGAAAGAGCCCTTTGCTCAAGCTGCAGGGCTGAATACACAAGAGGAGACTAAAACTCTTAAGTAAGTCTCTGGGTTCCTTTCCTTCCCCGTGGCTGAGGAGCAGAGGCCTAGTGCTCTTCGCCTGACCCAGAGCGTGAGCTGTAGGTATAAGTGTAGCTTCTACCCACCTTCCAATTTCATGTCAAGCAGTTCAGCTTTCCCCCTGCTCCCCCCCAAACACACAACGCGGAAAGCAGGCCAGGGCTCTTGGAAGGCTGATGTCCAAGATCATTCCATACTGATTCAGCTGTTGGTGGGAACAGGAGAAGAGGTGGTGGTTACTCGGTACCCAGTCCACTCTAGCCTAACTTACCTGTGCTTTAGGGTGACTTTTCTATTGCCCCAGCATGTAACCAGTTAGCAGACAGTAGCTCATGGGTATGTCTGCGCTGGAGTACAATATCCTTGCTGTAGTGCAGTGGCATGTCTTGCTCCTGCTAATTTGTGGTGTTTCCTTGCACAGGTCTTTGCTCATGTTTACAATGGAAAACTGTTTCTACCTGCTCATCTCCCAGGCTGTTCGGTATTTGAGGGACCCAGCGGTGCATCCACGAGACAAGCAGCGGATGAAGCAGGAACTCAGCTCTGAGCTGGTGAGCATTGTGGAGCTGGTTTCCTGCCTTGTGCTACATTCCTCTTTCTCCTTTTAGCTCATGTAGACTTGTCTGTTGTGGTGCCCAAAGGCCATCCCTTCTCAGCGATAGCCTGGCCAGTCTAATGGAAACAGCTGTGCACACAATCCCATTAGATTTAGTGCAATTAAAGTATTCAGACCTTTCTACCGTGGCTGTCAAGGCCATGTGATACTTTGGAGGCTGAATACACAGAGCTGCCTAGAATCTGCAGAACAGATGTGACTAAAACCCAGAACTGGATAACAAACTCTATTCCTGGATTTGCCACATAATAGAACTCTCTTTGAGCAGGGGCAAGCTGGTTAAATATGCTGGTTTCCCCAGGCATAAAGGGGTAATATTGACCTGCCTCACAAGTATCAAGAGGCTTAAATCATGGTGCATAAAGCACATTGCGGGCCTCAAATTGGAGGTGCAGTGAGAATGGGACAGGGATTTATGTGCTTCTGCAGTGCCTACTTCCATCTTGGTTTGCCCCTTTGGCTGTGAATGATCCAGTGAAAATGCAGTATAGGCAGAGGACCATTAGTTCTTGACTGGTAAATGGCAGCCAGTTGCTGTCTAGAGTAGACTGCCTCAAGACCTCCCCCTTTGGGTCACAAAGTCAGGTGGCACAGTCTCCCAGGATTCCTGCCCTGGGGAGGGGAGGGAGAGCGCGTGTGCTGGGGAAGCTAACTCATTGTGTGCTTCTCATTTCAGAGTACACTGCTCTCAAGCCTGTCTCGTTACTTTCGCCGGGGCGGCCCCTCTTCTCCAGCCAGTGGGATTCTTCCCTCCCCCCAGGGAAAGTCTGCCTCCAAGATTGGCCCTGAGGGGCAGGAGCCTTTGATCCAGCTGGTACAAGCCTTTGTCAGACATGTGCAGAGATAGGTTGTGTGCTATTGCTGCTATTTCAGGATTGCACCAGAACTATTCATTTCCACAACAGAAGGCATCATGCTCGGCTGGGCTCATAACTGAGTTGTAACATCTGCTGGGGAGATAGATCCTGTTGAATGCTTGTACCTGAGTAGGAGTGAACGTAAGAAGGTCCAAGAATGCCGCCCTGTCCAAAGAACTGCTCAGTCCATGCATGCTCCATGCCTGCTGCTCCACCTGCTAGAGCGACCAGTCAAAACCTTTATTTTTATAGCTTGTACACAGCAGTTGGGTGGGGAGAGGAGGCAGGTTTTTAACTATTTTCCTTTGGGCATTAACTCAGCTCTTAGTACAAGGTGCAATCTTCCTCTCCCCATCAGTAAGAGTCTGGTGAGGCACAGGCGAGGGAGCAGCCAGCAATTCAGAGACCAGCTTTCTATTGCTATTTTTGTATCCAAGGGGTGCCAGTCACTGCTGCTGGGTTGGCAGAGCAAGGTAAAATGGTGTAGGTGCGCACCCATGTCCCTCCTGCTGTTGATTTGTGTGATATGTACATTTCTGAAGACTAGAAGACAGCCTCCTCCAAAAGGTTTTTAAGTCAAAATTCCATTGCTCGGATCTTGCATTTTTTGTAACTGTGCCCTATTTATACTGATATTAAAACATTTATAAACAGCAGTTGGACTTGTGGGGCTTCCCTGCAGAAGACTAGTGCTGTCTGTTGACTTAAGACTCTCACAAGGGTGTATGCAGCGTAGGTGTGGGTGTGTCAGGATAGCAGAGTCACTCAGTGGCTGAGGTAATATCATTACTGGACAATGTCCAAGCTTGCCTCTTTCACCAACAGAGCCGTGAAGAGCGGCTGTGTAAGCTTGCCTCACCCCCAGGCTGGTCACATAAAAGATTACCTCACCCACCTACACTTTCACAAGGCAGTTCAGATAGCTGTAGCATAAGTGCTAGTTAAGTTAGGAAGTAGAGAAAAAGCCTGGTGTGTGAAGCTACTGCTGTGTACTGTATGTTTTTTGTTTTATCACCCCTTAATTTAACCCCAGGCTGCTGCAGAAAGGTGGGGGATGTTTAATACAACTGAGCAGGAATCTAGTTTCATTAGCACCTTTTAAAAGACAACTTCTCCCTACAACTGCATTGGGGGAGCAGTGACAGGAAGCTGCTCCTTCAGCTATGTGTACACTGCTGTCAGGAAATGTGATTACAGCATGTGTAGACATACTTCAGTTGCTTGAGTAACAGCAGTGAAGCTACAGCATGGACTAGTCCTGTCAGTCCAGAATGCTGGCTAACTCAGGTCTGTCTAGACAGTCCTGCAATTACAGCTTCTACTTGCAGTGTTGACAAATGTTCTGGTCAACATTAAGTGGGAAACCCAATAAAAATGGTTAAATGTTGTCCCATTATTAAATCTTAGTTGAGGATTGATTCTGTGCTTAACAATATTTGCAGCCATGAATGGTGTAGCTTATAGCTAAGGCTACATAAGTGTCATGGGTACTTTTAATAAAAGTCATGGACAGGTCACTGGCAGTAAACAAAAATTCACAGCCCATGGCTTGTACTATATACCTGACTAAGTCTTAGGTTGGGGGGCAGTGTGTGGCCCAAGATCCCCTTGGGTGCTGGGGAGGAAGGGGGGTGGGTAGCTGCAGCCTGGGACCCCCACGGCTGGCTGCAGCCCCACAGCCAGCCAAACCAGCCCCTGCAGCAGTCATAGGCAAATAAAGTTTAACATGATTAATTTTAGTCTAGCTGTAATTAGGGCTAGTCCTAGACAAAGCAGCTTGCTCCATTGAACTGCATGTAGAGAGGTAGGTTCCTGTGAAGCTACCTGAAATGTGATGGTTTCATGGCCCCTGAGCAGCAGCAGGCTCAATCTGATCCTGAATTACAGCCCTGAAGCCCCCTCAGGAGTTATCTGGGGTATCACTCTCTAAACAAACAGCATGTAGCACAGAAAGCTTTGAGCAGTAATTGGTTCAGCCTCTCCTAAAGCAGCCTTTAACTTTAAGGCACACACAGATTTGCCCTGTGTTTGCCTGTTAGGGGCAGTACTTTTCTAAACAGTGGCAGGGTTGTTGACTGGATTGAGGTTTGCTTGGTCACTTTCACATCCAATCAAAGAACTAAGGCTCCATTGGCAAGGCAGAAGAGTGCTTGAAGCTGTTCAGAGGAAAAAGATCAAATATTTTTCTTAGCATTCATTGAGTGCTTTCAATAAAGCTGCTACTTTTGACTTACCTGTGCCAGGGGCCAGTACCTGTTGCGGGAGGCTCTTGCCACCATTAGGAGATATTCTAAGGGAGTACAGCTTACAGGCCACAGCCTGGCTTACTGCTGAGGAATAGCCCATGGTGGTCACAGGGATCATTAAAGCCTAAGAGCTTGGGTTTGTATTTGTTAAATGCAAGACAGACCAAACACTTGAGTAAGGAAACTAAGTGAACAAGTAGCTGGGTATTCTTGGAACTTCCCCAATGTGGATCAGGGACAAGTCAGCAACAACTACAGAGCTTATACTGGCAAAGGAATAGTCAAGCCCAAAACAGTGAGATTGGAAATGTTACCAGACCAGAGTGTGGCTGCTATATTCTTTATAAACCACACCTGTGGTCTGGGCTAGGGAAACAGCTTAGAGATAGCAGCTGTTCCTTGTTAATTCAAGTTGCCAGCCTAGTTCACTTCTATACCAGATTCTACTACAAGGGGAGGGGCAGACTGCCTTCTCCAAACCCCACATTCCAAGAGCAGCATGCAGAACTGACTGCTAGTAAGGTCATAGCTTACTCCCACAAGCAGACATTAAAACAGCACTAGCACATGTGGAAAGCTTCACACTGAACTTTAGTTTAAGCTAATAGGGTGAGAGATAAAAAGGAGAAGTGCCAGAGGATTCAGAGTCTTTAATCTCAGACTTGTGACACATCTCAGTACTGTAACAGTATTGCATGGCTCTTAAGTTACATTACCCCACTTTGTACTGTTCACTGCTAGCTGGAAAGTGAAGCGGTATGGAACCCACACAAGATACTGAGACAGGAGGGCAGACTGGTTATTTATTGGCAAATAAATGCTGAAAACCAAGAGCCCTATATACACAGGTGCTCTGTGCCCTATTACATTAGGATGGTCATAAAGCAGTCAAAGAAGAGTGCAAAAGATCAGTGGATAAACAAGCAAGTCAGTGTCTGTCTAGACCCACCAGGGGAGGGGTAGTGAACAAAGATCTTAGTGCAGTTGAATGCTTCGAGCTGCCAAAGCAATTTCATTTTGCCATCTAAATCCCTTAGCTGTTGAGCACATCACCTCATAAGGAGAGCTTTCAGACCAAGGTGTCTTTACTACTTCATCCATTCACCTCAGTATTTGTGATGGTTCAAGTTACAAGGGTACCCTGGACAGCAAAATGGGAGGGATGAGAAAGCAGAACCAAATAACAGCCGCTTGGCATATGAAGTAGTAAGAGGCTCATTGTGAATATACAAAGTGTAAGAGGACCCATCCCACATGCTGTGCTAGGATGCACCAGGTCTGTTCACTACCAGCTGGATGGGACAAGAGAGCATTTAAGTTAATCTGCTTGTTAAGACAGACTAGCAGGCTAAACCTCACCCCCCACAAAAAAACACCAAGAAGAGTAGTGAGCCTGGACAACAACAGGGAGCAAAAGCTTTTTTAAAGGCTTGTAAACTCAGTCCATTGCTTGGAGGAAATGCAAGCAAGATGCATGTTCCTTTGCACTGAAAGGTGGTTTCATTCGTGCAGTACTGGCCTTGGGTCATTAGATTAGTGAAACTGGAAGAAAGTTTAACAACGAGTCATTCTGTGCCAGACAGCAGCCACCAAGCACCATTATAGTAGCCCTGCTTTATTGTTCCCTCGGTGGGTAAAGGAGTGCTGTGGATGGGGAATTGTGTTTTTACAGACACATACTATCCAAATACAGCTATATTCCATACAGCTCCTCATGGCCTTGGCCTCTATTTTTGTTAGAACATGCCAGTGTTAGCATTTTGGAAAGAGACCCAGCGCCTTTGCCCCCACTGGAATGCATACAATGATGTGGCCCAAGCAAGAGTACCCTGGTAAAGAGCCTCAAGAGAAAGGCGCTAAGATGCTGAACACAAAAGAAAATACATTTGGTCTCAAATGCCATGAGCAGCTGTTGAGAAAGAAGAGACAGGGCTGGTTCCTGGAAAGCCACCACAGTTAACACAAGCAAGGCAGGAGGAAAGGGATCAGTAGAGGGAACCCCAACACACCACATGACCCTTACAACTAACCCTCAAAGCAGGCTGTGTGGACAGTTAATGAATTCAGCTCTAGGGGCCTTGAAAGGTGAAGTGACCCTTCCTCCCCCACCCACCATCAGCCTAGTCTTTTCCTCCCAATTCCCATGTTAGTCGTGAGTGAGTTGACCCTGAAGAGAGCAATGGTATCATGAAGAATGCCAGGACATGGAGGGTTGCATTTTGCTTGTAGATTCTCCTTCCCGGCAGCATTTAACTGAGCAGTTCTAAGTAGGTGACAGGAACTTTGCCCTTCTGGTTACCCCGCTCGCCTATGAGCCAGTCTGGATCCATCCCTGGTAGGCTGTACACTGTGATCATCTGGGAGAGAAGAGAATTAGATGAAGTGTCTCATTCCTCATTTGGAGCCAAGAATAGAAATAGGTTTGTGATTTATTTCCTGCAATACCCACCTAGTTCCCCCTAGTGTTTCCCAGCATCTCTCTAGTTCTTTCCCCAAAGCCTCCTTTGAGTTAGTCCTACTAGTAGACAGACTTGCCTGGGAATTCCCCAAGGACCTTTCAGAGGCTTCCAAGTTTGTATGTTGTTTAGTCATGGCAGGACTTCAAGCCACCCCATATTGTCTCTGCCAAGCAGACTTGTGTCAGGCTGCAGCTCTGCGCTCAGACATTCCCCCTCACTGATGGCAGAAGGGATTTCAGAGGCATTGCCATGAAGTTGCTTAAAACTTCAGCCTGCTCTGAACTA